TATTCAACAGGTTAGTCCATTGACACTAACTAGCTCTCATATTTTAATCTTTCATCTAACTCCGATCTTTCTCATGAAGTATTTGCTCAAGTTCTTGTTTAAATGCCGTGCCAAGTTCTCTGAAGAATGTATTTGCAACCCACAGCTTGCTGATACAGATGGATCATCAATAGTACGCCCATCAGTGAATAAACAAGGCTTGTGGTGTAAGTTATTTTTTAATTTGTGAATTTGGAGCTATCATGATTCTCTCTCGCCTCCACCCACCCCACATATGAAAAAGAGAGAACATGGAATTAGAATATGAAGCTATTTAAGATATTTTTCTTTATTCTTGTTGCCTTCGTTTTCATTTTGTAATGGAACAATAACTCTGAAATGGACAAAGCGGAAAAGAAACAGAGGAATAAGATTTAGGAGTAAGTTCCATTTCATTATGTGCATCTTCTTTGTCTCATAAAGCTAACTAGTGCTTGCAGCCATGACAGATCTCAAAGCTTTTGAGTTGATTCGTGTTTTGGCTTGGCAAAGACTAATTTTCTTTCCCCCTTCCCCAAGCCACCCTTTTGGTGAAATTACACGACTTTCCACTTTTGTTATTCTTTTAGTACTCTTTCTGCTCAGTTTATGAACCATGAGGATATGGAAGTTCAATAAAACTTGTTTTCTCTCGAACTGATTGAATCAAAGAGTGAGCAGCGGCCAGGTTTAGTGAAATTACATATGACCTTCCATTTTTCTTATTTTTAGTACTATCTCCTGTATAACTTAAAATGGCAAATCAAACATGTTCTCTATTCAGCTGTAAAATTTTTGCTTGGCATGTCATCTCATGAGGATTTCTGAGATTTTGGAGAAAGTTCCATTCATGGTTTTTTTTTAATCTCTGTCTTACATGGCTAACTGATGCTTGCAGTCGTGATAGGTTTCTAAGCTTTAAGGCTGATTTGTGTATTGTGTTGAGTTTCTTTTCCACCCCTCACCGAACCACCCTTCATGATATTGCACATGCAATCCCTCTTTTCTTATTCCTAGTGTTGACTTTTCTCTTTTCGTGGTACGCAAAAAAAAGTTCTTGCATGAATGCTTGATTAAAAAATTTCAAGAACTTGTTGGCGAATTATAAGGAAATCAAAGAAATCGTAGTTTTTAAGAATATACTGGCATTGCACACATAAAGGAAATTCAAGAAATCTTTTTGTTTAAAAAATTATGTTGTTATTCTTGCAATGTGTGTTAAGGATGTTCAAGAATTTGTTTTTACCTTTTTAGTGAGATTGGGATAATTAAGCGAATGCCTCAGGCTATTTGGAGCTTAACCTAGTTTCCACCAGGTATGTGTTGCTATAGGCACCCGAGACCTGCTACGGTAAGGTGGATGGCAATGGTAAGCATTACTTGTGCAGTAAGTTTTGTTCAATATTATTATATATTACTTCATCAGCTGAAGTTGTAGTTCCTTTTGAAGGATCATCTGAAGTTGTACTTTCTTTTGAAGGGTCATCTCAAGTTGCACTTTCTTTTGAATAATCATCTGATGTTTACTTTCTTTTGATGGATAATCTGAAGCTGCACTTTCTTTTGAAGGATCATCTGAAGTTGTACTTTCTTGTCGGACAACTTCTCGAGTCCCCACAGAGGACAGGGTAAGGATCCACCAATGTTAGCTTTTATTTATAGGATAAGGCTGTGATGATGACAAATGAAGTTGTATAGGGTTGGGTCTGGCATTGGAGCTACCCTTATTTTAAGCAGGCAACCTGTTAAGGCATCTGCGTTTTGCAACCAAGATCTGCAGCCATTGTGGTTGTTTTGTCTCCTTTTGCCTGGTTAAATCTGAGCCTTAGGAGAAAGAATTGGCTGAAAGACACTTGAAGTCTTGTGAATTCCCTTTTGTTAGGTTAGACTAAAAAGGCAAGAATGAGGCAGCAAAGAGTATGGGATTTCTATCAAGGGTGGTTTCCTTCTCCCTAAACTTTTCCTATGATTCTACATTTTTTAAAACAAATCAACAGCCCTTAAAAAAGAAAGAGGACACAGAGAATACACTTGAGTTTCTGGGTTTCTTTGCATTTTTGCATTCTTAGATGTATGCTCATAAGGCAATACACACAACTATACTACAACAGCTTGACTATGAAAATTATTGAAGTGGCAGTGATGATTTTTGGGCTAACTAAATTCGGGCATTGAGGTTACTCAACCCGTATCATTGTGGGGAAACCTGGTATGGCCTGTAATTGAGACGCATAAATCACACATGCAATCGTGCATTGCTGCCATGTCGTGGTATGCTTCTCTTTGGCCTTGCCATAACACAAATCTGAGCCTCAATTTGCTAAACAGAAGGGAAAAGGGTCAAAATTACCTCTTTATATGCACAAGGGGAAATATTATTTCCATGATTAATGTGGGAGATATTGAAATCACGCACGTCCTTCTGATTAGCAATTTTGATGCTTTTCATTCGTAATGTGTCTCCATCTTTTGATAAGTACCAGCTCAAGAACGAGGCATTTAAATGAAATGTTGGATTATTGAGGGGTGTTTGCGGCCACCTCTTGTAAGCCCAGATCCTATTTTTGATGTTTTGCATTGTTATGCATCTTTTATAGCTTCAACGTTTATATTCCTCCCACTGATGGATATATGTATGTCTAAATGCGAAAAAAACATGACAAACACTTCTTCTCAGGCTGGTTATTCCATTTTGAGGTGTCAATAACACTGTTTATATCAGTTCTGTGTTCCATCTTGTTGAAACCAAGAAGGATTTTTGAGGGTTTAACCCTTTGAAGTGTCATTCTTGTGTATTGTCTCTTAAGGTCCATTTATGTTTTATTTGGGTTGATTATAGCCAGTGAATTATGAATGGTAACTTATAAGGGAAGAGCTTTTTTGTTCAAACATTCTAATGAGATGCTCTGCTATCTATTTTTGACGTTTCTTTGTTTGAAATTGTTACTAATACTCATTGGAGGCCAAACGGACATGGTAAGATTTTGAAGGTTAAAGTTCTTTGAGTTTTAATTGGTATTATTCATTAAGATAGCTTTCAAACAACTAACCTAGTCTTTGTTCTTGCCATTGTTTACAGGACGGCAAGTGTTTGTACCTTGGAATTTGATGATTGTACACAATATGTTCTTGTTTTCTTTGGAGCTACCTCCTCCGGTGGGTCTATGAGATTTTGATGTTAAATTTTTATTTCATTGTGTTTCTTCTCCATTTAACACGGCTAATTGATGCTTGTAGCCACGACAGATTTCAATGCTTCTGAGCTCATCGTGATTTGGCTTTGCACAACTCAATTTTTTTCACTCACCAAACCACCCATTTGGTGAAATTACATGACCTTCCATTTTCCATATTTTTAGTACTCTTTCTGGTATAACTCAAAAGGGCAATAAACCTGTTCTCTATTGAGCTGAATAGCTGTTGCTTGGCATGGCATCTCATGTGGGTATGTGATATTTTTGAAGAAGTACCATTTATTAGTGTTTTTTCTACCTCTCGAAGCTAACTAATGCTTGCAGCCATGACATGTTTCTAAGCTTTTGAGCTGATTCGTGTTTTGAGTTGAGTTTCTTTCTCATCTCTCACCAAACCACCCTTTTCGTGATATTACACATGCACTTCCTCTTTTCTTGTTATTTTACTCACTCCCGCTTTGTTTAATACACAATGAGGATTTGGAGGTTTTCATCTATCTATGTTCAATCAAACATGTTCTCTCTTGAGTTGAAAACTGTTGAACTACACAACCTTGTACTTTTCTTGTTCTTATATTACTCTCTTGTATAACTTAAAAAAAAGCAATTTAGCATGTTCTCTCTTGAGTTGAAAACTGTTGATTGGCATGCCATATGAGACTTAGGAGAAAGTTTCAATTCATGGTGCATCTTCTCCGTCTCTTAAGGCTTACTAAAGCTTACAGCCATGACGGACCGTTGCTCGCAGCCATTCTAGGTGTCAAAGCTTTTGGGCTAATCATGACGCTACCTCTTCTGTTTACAAATTACGCTACTGGTACAGTAGAACTTCATACGCTATTTACCTTAACATGGTCTAAGACTGTTTGACTTTGATTGTTTCTTAAAAATGGAAAAGTGTGCCACCTAAGAAATAGTGAATTATTTGGTTCATCTTTTTTGATTTTGTAAATGTTTTGAGGATTAGTAGAGGTGGGTTGCTTGAGAACATCGCACACTTTTAATTGTTTAGACTAATTGCACCTGTGAATTTGTGTGTTGCTTGACCAAAAAGCATTGACCAGTAAGGCTCTTCAACGAATTCTTATGTTCTTTTATTTGCTGCTTCCTTACAGGGCTGTTCTTGTGTTTGTTGTTCGTATAAGTATCTGTTGCTTGAGACCTGCTATTATTTTGGAGTTCTTACAAGTAGTGTACTCCTAATTTGTCCTTTATGACATTTTAATTATTTTGAAATAGAGCTTTTTTTAGTTTCTTTTTAAATCTAAAATATTTTAAAATCGAGTTTTTTTAGTTACTTGCTGAATCTAAAATATTTTTGAGTTTTTTTTAGTTACTTTTTAAATCTAAAATATTTTTAAATAGAGCTTTTTTTAATTACTTTCTAAATCTAAATAATAGTTAATAAATCTATTATTAGAAATGACTAAAAATTAATATTATTTGATAAAATAATGCTTAATTAGATACACTTAAAAAAAATCAAAAATTTTAGAAGTCGATAAGAATTTTAATTGATTTAATTTTGTCCTTTTTTCAAAAAAATAATAAAACTTATATTTTTAACTTAAGTTAAATTATTAAACAATCCTGAAATTTTATATAAAACAACTAAAAAGCAAAAAAGGCTCCATATATTATTATTATTATTATTATTAAAATTAAAAATAATATATTTTGTAATTTGCATTAACTATAATCTATACGTAGTTTTTTTTTTCGCGTTTCTGAAAACTATAAATAAAGGTAGCCGCTAATTTTACGACTCACAAGCGTAACATTGACTACTCCGTGTCACTGCTCTCCGGTGACGATGGCCGATCAAGATCAATTTTCCGATCAAGATCAATTTTCCGATCTGGTATTTTTCCATCCGACAACATGAGTTTATTGGAAATCACGCATGCTGTCGATGGCCGATCAAGATCAAGAATTCTCCACTGGATTGCTGTCCCAGTGACGATTCCGATCAAAATCCTAAACCCCAAATCTTAGAATCCCCGATGATTCCGGTATCACTCTCGATTAAAAAAAGAAACAAGGAAAATTCGAGAACTTAATTATCCAGATTATCTTTGAGTTCTTGCATACATTCCTTCTTAGAGAAAAAACCAAGAAATTGTCGTCTTTTTGAAGTTATATTGGAATTCTTTATTTTAGAAAAATCAAGAACTCGTCTTTTTTTAAAATTACTACATTGGTATTCTTTAACCATATTTTAGGATCTTGAAGAAATCTTTTCTATTTTTTAAAAAAATTATGTTATTATTCTAGCCGTGAGTGTTAAGTTTGTTCAAGAATCTGTTTTTACTTTTCTTGGGACATTAAGCGAATGCGTGAGGCTATTTGTAGTTCAATGTCATTATGTTTTCACAAGGGTTGTTTAGGAGTGTTTCAACAGCTCTATGCTGGTGCAACAAAGTCATTGACGTGGAGTTGTTCTTGAACCCACTCGGACAACTCTAATTATAAGAAGTTGTGATTACTAGTACTTTGAATTAAGTAGTTTAATTATAAGACAGACAGACTTTGTAAACGCCTTCACTGACCATCTTCCTTTACATGGTCTAGACTTTTTGACTTTGATTGTTTGTTATTGTTTTCATTTGAGAATCAGTAAAAGTCTGCTGAGAACGTCATAGTCAAGTGACTAACGGTGGCAAGTCGTGCCTTCATGCAGTTTTAATCAATTAGACTGATTGCACCTGTGAATTTGTCTGTGGCTTGCACAAAAGGCAGTGACCGATGGGACTTTTTATTTTCAGCCTCCATTTTCGTCTAGGTTGAAACAGAGGATGAGTTTGGGGTGCTAAATCCAGTTGGGTGTTCGTCTAGTTGCTCAATTTTGTCTTCAGCAAAGTCATTGGAGAGTCAAGAAGGTTATTGACCAAAAATTCATCATCATAGGACTGGTGGTGGGTCATTTTCAAGGCTATTTTAGGCCTGAAATAACTTGTTGTTTCAATGCCTTTCTGAAGATGTCCATGCCCTGTTGAATGCCCAAAAACAGAAACGGAAAAGCATTATATAAAATGCAGAAAAATGGGTGTAAAATTTCATGGAAATCGTGTACTCCTAGACCCGATGCATTTTGGTGTGCAGAAGGTTCTGCTTAATTTTTTATTTTATTTCATCAGCTGATTTTTTTTTTTTGAAGCATCTGGTCTCCCACAAAATGGCTGGTGCTGATGGGAGAAAGATATGGTAATCTTTGTGCAAAATGCTGGGTTGACACCATCTTTTCTATGGTATTGATGCTTCTGTACATAATTTCTTTTGTAGATCTAAAAGTTAAATTAGATGTTCATAACTTGGAGTGGTTGTTGTAGTCTATAGGATTGCATGCATTACTTAAAGATGTTCTCTTATTTATTATGCTTCCTTTTCGTCTGACCATTTTAACTATGGTTTGGTATGCTTGCTTAATACCAGCGACATCAAAATACTGCCATTCAGATGATATGCATGCTTTCCCAGCAAGCTTTGGCCTTAAAGGAGATGCTCTGAGTTCTACTTCTGACGTTTCCTTGTTGAAAATTGTTACAAAAACTCATGGGAAGATTTTGACGGTGAAGTTCTTTTGAGTTTTAGTTGGTAGTATCCGTTAGAATAGGTACTAAACTACTAACTTGTTCTTTGTTCTTCCCATTGTTTACAGGGCAAGTATTTGCACTTTGGAATTGATAATTGTAGACAAGATGTTGGTACAACAGGTATTTCTGTATGAGGCTGTATGAGGCTACCTGGGACAAGAGTTGACTGTTGTTTGCTAGTAAGGAAATTTGTTGGGATTTTACTTTTTGCATTTGTTGTTCCTGATGTATTTTACAACCAGCCAGTTCGAAGGAAGCAAATGCACTCCAAATACTTCTAGTTCTCTCACAATTCAAACGAATAAAAAATATTGATTTACACACTTCACTTCTAACGCTGTACTCTGTTCTTATTGATCTTTTAGTTTGCATATATAATCTGGAAGCCCTAAGGGGGTGTCTTACATTCTCTGAAAGAGTCCCTACTAAGAATCGCCCTTGTGCATCCCAATGTCTCCTGCAATTTTGTTGATATTGAAAGGTCCATCTTTGTTATTCCAGCTACATAAATTACTTAATAAGATAGCAATGACTTTTGGCAGTGCTTCTGACTATGAGCAGCGAAGTCAATCTCAAATATATCCACTGTTTTTTTAACCTAAACTGCTCACGATCTTTATATGATTTGACACTGGAGCTGTCAATGAACTCTATGGAATTTAAGGTGAGTTTTTTGTTGGCAGTTATTATTTAATTTTTTGGGGTTGGGAAACGAGTGGGAGTCTTTGGATTTATTGTTGTAGAATTGAGTTTGGATTTAGAGATTGTTTTGTAAAACTTGGTTTGGGTTGTTTTCTGTAAAAAATATATCAAAACACCTGATCATTTTTTGAAACTCTAATGTAGGTGAAGTTAGAACTGCCTAAGCATCATTATCTTTTACTAATCGTATTGGAGTTCGAAGTATTAAAGAGGCCCCCCCGACGAGCAATGCCCTTGTGTCACAGCAGTTCCCAGAGAACAAAATAATATTCCGTTTGTTATCTGACAACAATGCAAAACCACGTTTCTAGCTTCTTTTGGTTGCAAAACTAAACAGGTCAATGTTAACAATGACATGTCGTACATATTTGTTTTACTGAGTGGAGTGTTGTATTTCTTATTACAATGTCTTTGCTGCTTCTAAGACTGACAATTCTCCCAACTTGAACTTACTCTTCTGATTTTTTACTTACCCAAGCATTCCTGACCTGATGTATTTAGAGTTACAACGTCTAGTTTACCTGAATCCAATGTACCCCACACGGAATATCGATTTACATGTAAAAATTCATTACTTAGTACCTTAGAAGTTGAATTCTTAAAGTTTTAAATCTTGAATTCACCTCATTAAACACTAACAATAAACATTTCAAGAGAGCAAGGGTTTCAGCTACAAATTAAACTTTCTCCCAAGTGAAGCTCTGCGATCTATCAAAAGGAACGGAGAAAATGTAATAGATGTTAATTGCATGGTCCCTGAATTGCAGAAATGTTTTAGAGGATAATGTAGAAGAACATGACAAAAATGAGAGTACAGCTGATTAACATGTAAAACTTGAGCATGAGTATGAAACTGCTGCTTTGTTTGATGGGTGAGAATGTATTACAATCAATCATCGTATAAGAGCCGGTAGTCGTCATCACTATCATATTCTTGAATGGCTACACCTTTACCTTTGTTGTTACTTTTGCCAATAGGTGTAGTGGAATCAGGTGCCGACTATCCTCCATCGCTTTGTATAACAGTACTTGTCTCATTTGGGGTTTAATGGTTCTTCTCTGATGATATGCATGCTTTACCAGCAAGCTTTGGCCTAAAAGGAGAGGCTCCGAGTTCTACTTAAGTGTGGCAACGGGACCGGGACCTGGACTGGGACTACCGGACCGGGACTAACCGGAACTGGCATGGAAGCGAGAACCACAACCCGGAACCGTATCGGAACCGGGACGGACCAATACCGGTAGTTTCGGATACGTAGAGTAGTACCCGTCCCAATACCGTGACTGAGCTCTATTTCTGATGTTTCTTTGGTGGAATTGTTACCAAAACTCATGGGAGGCCAAATGGATATCATAAGGTTTTGAAGGTAAAGTTCAAGCTGTATTCTGATCTGATTGATCTTTTGTTTTGCATTTGTAATCTGGAAGCCCAAAGAGGGTCTTGCATTCTCTGAGTGTCTGCTGAGAATTATCAGGTCCTGTCTGGAAAAATGAGGCCAACAACCTATCAGGGCAGATGAGCGAGTTCGTCTGGAAGAACTGTGTGGGTAGGTAATGATTGTCTAAAAACTCATTGGAGAGTCATTTCAACTTGGAGTCTGTTACTTATTGGATTATCAGGTCCTGTCTGAAAGAATGAGGTCAGCAACCTATCTTGATCCAGAGCAAGAATTGGTACGTTTATTTTGATATTAGGTAACATTGAATTTGTGAGTCTTTTTTGAAATTTGTTGCCAATTACTACTCAGCAGACCAAATTCAAGCTTCAAGATCATTTATCAGGTAAGTTACGATCTTTGTTTAGATTTTCATCACACAACGAGTCTATGGAACTTGCCATTTACCAGAAATTCCATTGCACTAAATTTTGCAACATTCTTTAAATCTGATTCCCAAGCAGTCAACATCCATGTATAACATTCTCTAATACTTGTCTCTGTCATATTATACATTCAAGATCCACTGTTTTTGTATAGCCTAAACTTCTCAAGATCTTTATATGCTTTGATTTTGGAGCCTTTAAAAGCCTCTGTGGAATTTAATGTGAGATTTTGTGCTGGCATTTATTATGTAGTTGTTTTGGAGTTGGGAATCGAGGTGAGTCTTTAAGACCTCTGTAGCATTTATTATATTTCATTTTCCTTGTTAAATGGTTTAACCTTTTCCATTTGTTGTTTCTTCTGCTGTTCCTGGCTTGGGACTAGAGATGCTTATTATTGACCCTTACTAAAATGAATGTAATCTTTTTCATATTAGAGATCCTATCGCATAATCACCATAGGTTTGCCAAATATTTTGCTTTCCTTGTTGATGCTTTACTTGGTTTGAGACCAAACAAGTTTGGCAATTGCATAGTTCAAGTTGTTTTGTGTAACCTTGTTTGATGGGGGAGTCGAGTCAAATTCTTGTTTATATGCCTTGCAGCAATCATCTACGAACTTGATGTGAAAGTCTAACGAGCTGAAACATACCTGCTCAATAGCTCATCACTGTTCTTTTAAGATGCTGATTGCTCTTTATATTTTCCATATACTAATTTGCATATGGACACTGAAAATTTCCTTTGGTGGTGCTTTTGTTGGTTTAGAGAATCTGTCAAACAAAATTAATTTCATGGAACATATTTAGGTTAAGTGATATATTATGGTTCAACTTATCATTCCTTTACTCCCAGACGATAAGATTTTTCAATTGGATTTGGAGCACCAGTTCGAACCAACATGAAAATTGGCGGTCTAACTGATGCTGTAGTCACATCAATCATCATCACTACTGGAATCTGTGAGGAGATCCCTGTGACTTGTGCATAGTTTTCTTTCCGGATCACTATTTTGTAGATCTAACGACTCTTTGTTCTCGTGAAATTATAGAAACCAAATGCATTGTAAATTGGATTTGACATTGTTTTTTGTATCTAGGTAGAAAGTGTTGATCTCACTGCATATGAATATGTGGAGAGGTTTCATGTTTTAGTGAGTTTATCTTCACTGGATGAGGATCAGCTTGTTCAGGTTTTTCTACTCGTTTTGCCTTTTGGCAATGTAGTTTCTACTTTCACATTTCCTGATTTAATCGGCTTTTGAGGAATGCGTGTTAAGGATGCTAAAGAATTTGTTTTTACCTTTTCAAGATTTGTTTCCACCAGGTATGTGTTGCTATCGGCATCAGGACCTTCATGTCCACCAGGTATGTGGTGCTATAGGCATTGAGATCTGCAATGGTAAGGTGGACGGCAATGGTAAGTATTACTTTCTTTGACATTGATCTAATGCACTTTGATGTGCAGTAAGTTCTGTATACTTTATTGTGTATTACTTCGTTATCTGAAATTGTACTTTCTTTTGAAAGATCATCTTATGTTTACTTTCTTTTGAAGGATCACCTGACGTCTACTTTCTTTTGAAGGATCATCTGATGTTTACTTTCTTTTGAAGGGTCATCAGATGTTTACTTTCTTTTAAAGGATCATCTGAAGTTGAACCTTCTTTTGAAAGATCACCTGAAGCTGCACCTTCTTTTATAAAGGATCACCTGAAGTTGTACGCTCTTGTTGGACAACTTCTCGACTGTACAGAGTTGGGTCAGGCATTGGAGCTACCCTGCGAGGCAACCCGTTGAGGCATCTCCGTTTTGCAACCGAGGTCTGCAGCCATTGTGGTTGCTTTGTCTCCTTTTTCCTGGTTTTATAACATATCTGAGCCTTAGGAGAAAGAATTGGCGAAAAGACGCTTGAAGTCTTGTGAATTCCCTTTTTTACGTTAGGCTTAAAAGGCAAGAATGAGGCGGCAGAGAGTATGGGATTTCTATCAAGGGTGGTTTCCGTTCTCTGTATGCTTCACCTATGATTCTCCATTTTTTCATAACAAAACAACATCCCTAAAAAAAGAAAAAGACAGAGAGAGTACACTTCAGTTTCTAGGTTTCTTTGCATTTTTTCACCCTTACGCGTATGCTCTTAAGGCAGTACACACAACTACACTACAACATGACCATGAAAATTATTGAAGAGGCAGTGATGATTTCTGGGCTAACTGACTTTGGGCATTGAGACATTACTCAACCCGTATCTTGGCGGGGCAACCCGCTATGGCCTGTAATTGAGAATCATATCTCACACATGTAATCGTGTATTGCAGCCATGGCGTGGTTGACTTCTCTTTGGCCTTACATAGCACATCTGAGCCTCAATTTGCTAAAGAAAAAAGGTAAAAGGGTAAATTTACACCTTTACTATGCATAAGGGGCAATATCTTTTCCATGATTATGTGGGATATATTGAACCCACACCCTTCTGATTTGCAGTTCTAATGCATTTCATTCGTAGTGTACCTCCATCTTTTGTTCTTGAAGGCCCCACTAGCACAACCTCTAAAAAAAATTTAAGTAGTTGAATCGTAAGAAGTTGTGATTTGTAGTATTTAGGATGAAAACACTCGATTGGACAGACTTCCGTAAATGCCCTCAGTGGCCATTTTTCGTTACATGGTCTAGACTTGTTATATGTTTTCTGATTTTGTTAATGTTTTTTAGGGTCAATTGATGTGCTGTTGAGAATATGGCAAATGAGCAGTGAGGCTCTTCAATGAATTCTTATGTTCCTTCATTACCTACTCCTGATGACGAGGGCATATGCTTTATATGAAAATCGATAGACCTTTTCTCCTCTTAGTATGATGTTCCATTCTAGCATCATAATTTTTTATCCCAGATGAATATTCCTTTATCAATATTCCATTTCTTTTTTCCATGAGATTTACTTCCTTATAGGACTGTTCTTTTTATGTTTGTTATTCTCATATGTAGTGCACTCCTAGATTGAATTTAACCTAGTTTCAACCAGGTATTTGGTGCTCTTGGAATTGGGAAATGCTATATTAAGGTGAATGACAATGGTAAGTGTTAGTTTCTTTGACATTGATCTAATGCACTTTGATGTGGAGTAAGTTCTGTTCAATTTATTATATTACTTCACCCTTTGAAGTTGTATTTTCTTTTGATGGATCATCTGAAGTTTATCTTTCTTTTGAAGGATCATCTAAAGTTGTAATTTCTTTTGAATGATCATCTGAAGTTAAACTTTCTTTTGAAGGAGCATCTGATGTTTTACTTTCTTTTGAAGGATCTCTGAAGTTTTACTTTCTTTTGAAGGATCATCTGAAAATATACTTTCTTTTGAGGAATCATCAGAAGTTTTACTTTCTTTTGAAGGATCATCTGAAGTTGTACTTTCTTTTGAAGGATCATTTGAAGTTGTATTTTCTTTTGAAGGATCATCTGACGTTGTACCTTCTTTTTAAGGATCATCTGTTTTACGAGATGGACAGGGTTTTATGGCAAAAAGATATGGTAATCTTTTTTTGCAGAATGTTGAACTGACATTATTTTTTCGTAACTGATGCTACTGTAGGATTGCATACATTACTCAGCTGATAGGCTGTTTAACAGTTTGTGTTCATTAGTATCTTTTTACAGATGTTCTTTTATTGTGGTTTTACTTTTAGTAGGGTAAACTTGTTTGGCTTTACAGCACAAAATTGAATGAAAAGGGGTGGTTTATTCAAGCTCTATACATCTCAGGTCCTTATGTGGTCTCGCATAAATAGATTGATGCTGAAATCTAGTAAAACGGATGAGCTTATGTTGAAGACAAAAAGTAGAAGAAATCATTCAGCTCTCCCTTTTACCAAAGCAAGAATAAATTATTTGCCATGAATGTGTCTTCAAGGAAGGCAGCAGGAAATAACAGTATTAAGACTGTTCATAATGTGCCACTCATGCCAGGTAATTTGTCCTTGAGTGCTTATTTGTGTTAATAATCAATGATGACAGAAAACGTGTGCTGCTAATTAATGTTCTGTTCGATTGTGCAGAAACTAGAGCAGTAAGGGGACTGCATCATTCTGCAGAAGCTATCTGCTGGGAGCTTCCACAGCAGTCACCTCATCAATGTAATCAATCTTCCACCCCAAGTTGTGGTGGTGGTGTATTCTCTGACGAAATATAATGTTATCAAATTTCTTGGAAGTGTTAGGTTTCAATCAAATATGTCAGTAACAACTCACACGACCTGAAGTTTCTTTCTTCTGAAAAGGGAACTTGTTAACATCTTGAGTAGCAAATTACAAGCTGATGGGGAGTGCACAAGTACACACGATAGAGAGTCAAAAGAAGGTAAACCATTCTTGCCTTTTGTTCCTGACCTAAATAAGAGCTGAATTTTCCCTAGTGCATGTTTCAGTTAATTAGCTGAATTTCTTTCACCCACTTTTCAAGATTTTATCTTGGACTGCGTTCATTATTAATCATGTAAGTATTAGAGATTACAACGTGTCTTTCTAAGTCTCCTAGTCCACATAGTCTCTTTCAAATTCCGTCCTTTTGTTCTGATCTTGTAATAAAATTGACATTCCAACAAAAAATCTAAGGTTCTTATATTCTGGGATAAAATAGATGGACTTCCGTCCAGAAGTTATAGTTGAGTATCATAGCTATATGTCGGATATTCTTGTGACTTCTTCTCTATTTTTTTAAGATGACGGGTTTTTACCTTTTCCATTATGAGATGCAGAAGGGTACTTGAATAGAGAGTCTTAAGAATCAGGATATTATACTCCATGTCCTTTCTGATGTCGTCTTGCATTGCCAAAGTTCTCCCAACAGGTTGATAAGAAGTTTATTCCGATTGTGGCAAGCACAACACGTGCTATAATTGATCGGGTCTATTCTGTACTTTGCATAGTCGGCCACTCTTGGTTTCTTGGAATTTCCTTATTGCGCATTTACTTAAAACGATTGTTTCTCTTAGGGATCATTTGGTTTAGCAAATATAAATCTTAGCATAACTTTCCGCATAATTATTTTAGGGATAGTTTGGTTGGACTCATTAGCAAATATAAATCTCAGCATAAACTTCCTCATAAACAGTATAACGTTTGTTGAACTGGCTGCATAAGAAACAGTAATATCCACAAAATTGTGTTTCGACTTATCAAAGTGCTTTTCCACTCAAACCTTTATGACCAAATGTATTTTTATGCTCAAACACATCACATTCCCAAACAGTTCCTCATTAAACATGGGCCTCTGATTTCAAAGCAACTTGTCCATTTAAAAATCGTCATCTTTTCATAGATTTCGTGATCCTTGTGATCTTTTTGCGACATGGCACTCAGATGATCCTGTGTGCATGCCACAACTATTCTCTCAAATCATATCCTGGAATATTGTGCACAGGTTCATGGAAGCATGCTAGGCATGAAGCCTGTAGAGGTTGTCTTGGTTGAACTGCCAAAACAGCTGATACAGTTGGATGTGGAGCAAAAGTTTTTCATGGTAGCAGTCAGGTGGAGAATATTTCCCCTGCGTACTGGATAAACAATTACAATGGTTTGTCTCCTTGCATAGATTAGCATTAACAATTACAATGGTTTGTCTCCTTGCATAGATTAGCATTTTAAGACAACTTGCCATCAACCCGTCACGTTATAATCTTAGTATCTGCATAGATAGTCCCTAGTCCCTATCATAAGAATTGACCATAAGAATCTAGAAATATAATTCTAGCTGATAAGATGTTCGATTTCGCAAGTTTTTTTACACATTTGCCTCCAATTTGTAGTCACCTTCAGTTTGTGTTTGATGTGTTTGTGATGTGAACAATTTGCTTTGTCTTGTTCTTTTTAATCAAAGGAAACAAGTTTCTCTCTTCACTTCAAAGAGAGATTTTTATTGTGTGAGTAAATATCATTATAACCATCCACATCAGTAGCCAACTGTGGTATTTGGACCTTGAGAAATTCACTTTTCTTCCATTATAAAAGTGTATACTGTTAAGAAGCTTGTTTCTCTGTCATGTAGATGCTTGAACGATTATGGAATTGTGAGATGAATGATTTGTGTTGATATTATATTATTAGTCTATAGTCAAAAGACACTTGAGAATCACATATGGATTTTCTGGGCCAAAACAATGAGATGTTGTATTCAACGGGGTACAACCTTATAATGCAGGTTGGAAAAGAGTAGAAAACAAAGTATTTGTAATACACAAAGTTAATGTTTGTATTATTTTTTCTAATACACTAAACTAAACGACCCCTTGTTGAATACAAGAATGAGCAACAAATCTCTGTCCTTGTTCTATACACTTTTAAACTTTGCAACTTGTAGCTTGATGCCTTTTTGGGTATTGCTAATGTAATTTGTGAGCTATTATTGTACATGAACGAGTTTACTCGATAGACCAGTAGAGTATCAATTGCAAAATTTTCTGGAGGTTGTTCCAAGGAAAAAAAAGAAGAAGTTGTTGGACTATGTTTATATCCTAACTATTCATATTGTTATTCACATATTCATCAATCGTACATATTTATAAGTGATGGACATCCTAGCCTTCATAACATTTCATATGTGAAACAAAATGACTTTGAATCTATTTTACATTAATTTACTTTCATACTGTGCGTATACATGTGTATTTTGTAAGATGCAATAATTTTGTAGAAGAGGTAAAATAAAATTATAGTTTGTAGTTAAAAGATTTCATTTTCAATAATCGATAGTTAAAACGTTCTTATAAATCACAATGATAACTACAAATCATCCACATAATTCAAGGTAAAAAATAAAATTTAGATATAAAAGGTGACCTCAAAGTGGTCTCGTGGGAATATTTGGTTTTGTCGAATTTTTAAGTCTACAAATTGGTCCTCTATCTCTTTTTTGATGGATTTTAGTGTTGTATTTCAAGATCTTTTTTGAATTGTTGATGTTTCTTGTTTGCAATTCCTAATGTAGTTCATATTCTTTTGCTTTAGTGGTTTCGTATGTTCAAAGTTACAATGTCTTGTGATTTTTTACGATGACTTTTCTTTAGTGAAGAAAGTTGTCTAATGAATGTTTTGGCTAGGATTGTTTGTGGAATCTTTGATAGTGACATACTTGGTTAAAGAGTATGGGTGATAAGGATCGAATATGAATTGAGTAAAAATAGTTTGAATTACAATTCACGCAAATAGAATATGATTAAATATGAATTTGTTCAAATATGGTTTGAGTAATGGTTTTAACCCATTTAAAAGAAAATTGTTTCCATAAACGTCAACATAAATGTAAACTTCAACGTGTACATCAACGTGATGTGATCGTCTCAATGTAAACGTAAACGTCAACATAAACATTAATGTAAATGTTAACGTCAACGTTAATTTGAACGGCAACATGAGCGTCAACGTCTATGTTAACGTCAACGTGAATGTGAACGTGAATGTTAACATTAGCATGAACACTAACATAAACATGAATGTCAACGTTAGAGCTAACGTGAATGTGAACGTAAACGTAAAACTCAACGTAAACATCAATGTGACCATGAACGTCAACATCAACATGAACGACTAATCAACGTCAATGTCTACATGAACGTCAATGTCAACCTCAATGTAAACGTGAAGTTCAACGTCTACGTCAATGTGAACGTAATTGTCAACGTAAACGTCTAGGTAAACATAAATGTCAATGTCAACGTAAACATCAACATTAACGTAAACTCAGCGTCAACATCGTCAATGTGAACGTCAACATCGTCAACTTGAACGTTAACGTCAACATTAGCGTCAATGTCAACTTGAACGTCAACGTCAATGTTAATATTAACATCAACGTCAATTCAATGTAAACATCAATCTCAGCGTGAAAGTAAACGTAAACGACAACTTCAACGTTTAAATGTAAACATCAACGTGAATGTTAGCGTCAATGTCAACATGAACGCTAACGTAAATGTAAACGTCAACATCGGCACTAGCGTGAATGTCAACGTCAACTTCAACTTCAACATGAACGTTGACGTACACGTCTACGTCAACGTGAACATCAACGTCAATGTGAACGTAGACATCAACATTAGCGTGATTGTCAACGTGAAACTCAACGTCAATGTCAAGGTGATTGTGAACGACTAATCAATGTCAATATGAACGTCAACATCAACGTGAAAGTCAACGTCAACCTAAACGTAAATGTAAACTTCAACGTATACATAAATGTAACGTGATCGTTAATGTGAACAGACACATCAATGCCAATGTGAATAGACACATCAATGTCAATGTGAACGTCAACGTCAATGTTTAAGTGAACGCCAATGTGAACATGAACGTATATGTTAACATCAACTTGAACGTTAACGTCAGCGTCAACGTAAACATCAATGTCAGCGTGATCGTCAACATTAACGTTAACCTCAGCGTCAATGTCAATGTGAAGGTCAACATCAATGTCAATATGAACGTCAACGTCAATATGAACGTCAATGTTAACGTAATTGACAACGTCAACGTCAACGTGAATACTAAACGTTAACGTCTACATCACCTGATGTCAACGTCAATGTGAACTTGAACGTCAATGAAACGTAAATGTCAACATCAACGTGAAAGTAAATGTATATGTGAACGTCAACATCAGCGTGAACATCAATATAAACGTGAATGAGAACGTCAATGTGAACGTATACATGAACATCAACGTGAACATGAACTTCAACGTGTAAGTCAGTATGAACGTGACTGTTATCTTCGACATCAATGTTAACATAATCGAAAACGTCAACGTGAACGTCAGCGTCAACGTCAAAGTCAACGTGAATGCTAACGTTAATGTCTACATCATTGTGAATGTTAACGTCAACGTGAACTTGAACATTAATGTGAACGTAAACGTCAACATCAGCTTGAACGTAAACGTAAGTGTGAATGTCAACGTCAACATGAGCGTAAATGTAAACGTGTTCGTCAACATAAATGTGAACGTGAACATCAACGTGACTCTGTGCGTGAATGTCAAATCAATGTGAACGTCAAATCAATGTGAACGTCAACCTCAACGTAAACGTAAAATTCAACGTATACATCAACATGAATGCGATCGTCAACGTCAACGTAAACATCAACATAAACATCATCATAAACGTCAACGTCAACATGAACATCAATATCAACATTAACCTGAACGTCAACCAGAACTTTAACATCTATGTGAACGCTAATATGAACGTCTACGTGAACGTTAACGTCAACATCAACTTCAGCGCCAACGTAAATATCAACGTCACCGTGATCGTCAACGGCGACGTCAATGTCAATATGAACGTCAACATTAGTGCGAAAGTAAACGTAAACGTTAACGTTAACGCGAATATCAACGTCAACGTCAGCATGAACGCTAACATAAACGTAAATGTCAACATCAACGCTAGCGTGAATGTAAAAACGTAAATATCAGCGTCAACTGTTTGTCATTGGCAACAGTGTTTCAGGAAATTCATGACAACCAGAGAAAGACCATATTGGACTATGTAAAAGCACAAAATAGACCTGATAAGCTGGTGTGCTCGCCACAATCAGAATAAACTTTTTATCAACCTGTTGGAGAACTTTGGCAGTCTCCCGACATAGCTGCACAACGATAATTACGAAAAGAAATTAAGCTAATCACCCAAATGCTTACCTGGTATGTTTACAATTGTACATATATGATGGTTTACTCGGCTGTAGTGCTTTGAAACTCGGTACACCATACTCCAAAACAAGGTTAAGGTAAACCTCATTCTACTCACTAGTAAGCATAGAAACAGGTGAACAACATTAGGATGATCAAGCATACACACATGTTTTTCCTGTAACACCACCTTTATTGCAACAGATTCACCCGTCTCTACGCACTTGGCCTAAGAAACAAAATTAAAAAATGAGCAAACTTCAATAAACACCCAATGCTTCCTACTGAACATCAAACACAATTTTACCTGAAATACAAAGAAAAGAAAAATTGATTTAGGTGTTTCGAGTTGATCGGAATCTTGATCTGGCAACGAGCCATCAACGGTAGCAGTAATCCGATGGTAGTAGTACTCAGTGATGCGACGTATATGACGGTGTTTCAAATGACGCGTCATATATTTTATTTGGAAATACGGTCAGTGCAATTTTATTTTTGGAAATACGCGTCAATGTATTTTTTTTGGAAATCAGTGTATTTTATTTTGAAAATACGTATCAGTGTAATTTTTTTTGGAATATGCATCAGTATTTCTTTTATAGTTGGAATGGAAAAAAAATCAGTTAATACAAATATAAGTGAACTCCTATTTATTTAGTTTACTCGATTATTTTATAGTACGAAGGTAATAAATAATGTATTTTTTATAACATATAAAAGTAATACTATTGGTAAAATAATTTTTTGTCAGAATACCGTTTCATAACTTAAATTATTTCACTTATTTTTATGGATATTAATTTAAATTTTATGTTATTAAGTTATAAGAAATAAATTAATTTTTATATATAAAGATATAATATAGATTTTAGACAAAATTAACATTAAAAGGGTCAAAATTGCTTCTAAATTATGTGAAATAGATTAGAGAAAAGTCTTAAAGTCGCCACTCAAGTTGTCCCGTATTTGCATAAAGACACCTTAACTTTGGAAGTGTCCTATTACCCCATGAAACTATCTAAATGCATAATAAATATAACATTTTGACTAATTTTAACACCACTCATGTTGTCACGAAATATGGGCGCGTGAAGGACTCTTGGTGCAGCTTCAAACCAACGTAAAACTGCTCATGACACTCCCAATTTGACTTATTTTTTTAAAAAAAATATAAAAACTCATTTATTAATTTTTTTAAACTTAATTAATTTGAAGCCAAATTTAAGCGCAAATATATGATGTATTGTGCCTTTTGAATATCCTTTCCCTTTAGTTTGTCTGAATCAGAAGATTCTTCTCTCTAATTTTTGAACTGTTGAAGAAATGTTTTGATATCCATCTCTTCCGTGCTATGAACTCTTTGATATTGTACTGCTATACAAGCGTCTTCTTCCTCATTGGATGTAGCCATAGATTGAAATATTTATACCTATAATTTTTATTAGATCTTTCTTGACTTTTTATATATATAATTAATTGAAATGGTCATTTCTTAATTTTTTATTTGTGAATCATAAATTTAATTAGATACATTTGTAATTGTTATGAAGGTATAATTTTAAACAGAATTTAAGTAAAATATTATTTTAAAGGAATCAAAATTATATGTATATATTTGAATAAATTGGATATTAAACGTGTTTTACTCAAATCTTACTGTATCATAAAAGTTATTTACCAAAATAATTGAGTAATAAAAAAGCTACTTTATTAAATTATGAGTTTAACTAAAAAAACGCTCGCAGTGGATGACTTCTTTAAATTATAAATAAATTAAAGGAAAAAATGGGGAGGGCAAAAAAACGCGTTTTTCTAATTTAAATTTGGTTTAGGAAATCTATTGGCTTAAAGAGTAAGCAACACGCTATCTGATCTGAGATTATAAATACCTCTTATTTTTATTGATGAGTACAATAAATTCTGATTCTTATTTCTCCACCTTTATGAATTCTTCAATATGCGCATGTTCCTTTTTTTTTTCTTGGTAATTAGTTGATGTGCTCTCACTCCAATGAATTTGTTCTCACTTTCTTGCGAATACTGATGACTGAATTTGGGATCTCTTGACAACTGAATCGGGGAATGTTGCTTTCTATTCCCTTTTTCTTGTTTCTTGTTAGTTGATAAATAGTTTATGTGCTCTCTACATATCATGATTATTATATTGGCAACACAAGTTTTAATCTTTCCACTTCATTGCATTCTTGGATCTTGATATCTGAATTTGGGCATGTTCTTTTTTCTTTTATTCTGTTTAATGCTTTTTTGGTGGGTTTGCATGTTGGTTCTAATTAGTTGATAAATTGTTCATGTCCTTTCTTCGTATCATGATTCTTGACAACGATATTGATATTTGGTACCAATTTGTTGAGAACACTTTTTACTTTCATGTTGGTCTAACTATATATATATTGAGATTACTTCTTACTTTCAACAATTTCCATGTTTATTGTCTAGTTCTTGGAAGAATTTTGAATCTTGTGGTTTTGACTAGAATGTATCAAAATGTCAATCTTTGGTCTTAATCATGGCCATGTGAGAGTTGCAATTATAGAATTGCCAGCATAGGAAAAAGACATTCTTTTTTAAATAGACTTAAAAGGAAAGTAAGACAAATATTCTGTGGACGTATTATTCTGCAATGCTAATAATATTCTTATTAGACTGCTCTTGGAAAAGAAAAACTATCCTTAGACTTCTAATGATAGAAGTTTTATAGCTTTGGTGCCATCTTTCGAAGTCCTAGCGACTTAAATGTTATTGCTACCTAGATATGTACATATCTTCCTCTAATTAATTTGATTAAACAAATTCTTTGGTTTATGTCCAAATACATTCAGAAGAAAGACTAAGCTATTGAACTGAAATGATCTACGAACACTCTCTGAAGATGTTATTTCCATAAGTTCTCTGCCAAATGGATTAAGTACAACTTTCTTTCTCATGTGTGGTCCAGGTGAGGAGTGGCATATATGAAGTTACATGATGTTCCGGGATGCCTCATTACTATTGCTATAAATGTTATGCACCTTGAAAGACAATTTTATTTATTACCTTTATTATGTTGTAATTGTTGATGCTTTCGTCAAGGTGATATAACTGCGTCTAGTTGCTGTCCTGTCTTTATGTTTGTTTGGTGTTACTGCATCAAGTTTCAGTATTTCTTCAATAAGATATAAACATCAATATAGTTGTCCAAGTTCCAAACAAACAAAGTATCATAGCTTCTCTTTTATTGTTAAACTCATACTGTTTCTTTTTAACGTGAAAACAAAAGTTGTAGGCTATTATGAAATTTTTTCTACTGCCGTTGGTTGCAGGTTCCTAACAACCCTGCTATGGTCACACGAAACTCCTCGTTGATAATTCAACATTCATCACTAAGTCAATATATGTTGCCACCGAAATACGAACCTACAAGTGATATACCAAAGGTGAGAGTTGGATTTATGTGAGACTTGTATAGTAGTTTGTGGGATGCTTTGGATGATGGACCAAAAGCTTAATCCAAATAAGACAGTGGAAAAATTTAACAGGACTTACAGTATTTGTTTATGTAGTTCCCCTTTTTCATGGATGAAGAAAACGCTTCTGGCGTACTAAGGACAGAAGTCATCATCATTTCAAGGAAAATACAAGGGACTGGGTTTGTTGTCCTACCGCTAAAGAATTTCCACTGGGGGCTGATTCATCTATGGAACAGTAAGCTTTCTTTTTTTATGAACGTACGCATGCATGCCTTTCTTTGTTGATTGGTTCAGCGGGATTCTACTATGCATAATTCAATTATCATAGTTAATGAATAGGAATGTCACATGAAATGTTTTAGTAGATTACTTAATATCTAGTATCATTTTATGCCTGCTTTATTAAGATCCCATTATCTTAAGCTCAAAGCCTGGAATCTCTAATAGTTCAAATTTAAACCGATTAACTTCATGGATTTGTTATGTTTTTGAGAGTATCTAAGGATATACAAGTTGGCTAGCTATTTTACTAGTTCCAGGAAATAAGAACCAAACTAACCAATTTTTCTATTTAATTGCATAATTCCCTTTTCTGTTAAAGATGTAGAGATGCATGACGGAGATGGAGATGGTGATAAGCCCAAGTTAGAGCTTGAAGAGATGCATTATGATAAGCCCAATCTTGTGCCAGCCATTGATGCTTGTAGTTCTAGTCTTGACTAAAGATATGTAGAATGTAACAAAAAATATCCTTTATATTTGGTCTTAATCATGCCATGTAAAAAGTTGGAATTATAGAGCTGCCAAAATAGGAAAGGAACATTCTTTTTGAAATGGACTAAAAAGGAAAGTAAGACGAATAAATTAAAACGAAGGAAGTACATAGACTACCATAAATGACCAGGTGGATGGATAATAGTGGACTCATAATTCTGCAATACTAGTAATATTCTTATTAAACTGCCCTTAGAAAAAAAAATATCCTTGACTTTAGGTTGATGCAATCTTTCTAAGTCCTAGTGACTTAACTGAAAACTAGAAAACCTATTGTCAACATATTTGTTCTTTTTAAGTGGATTCAGATTCTGTTTTTTCAAATATGTTATTGCTACTTATATATGTGCATATCGTCCTTAAATTAAGTTGATTATACAAGGTCTTTGGTCTATTTCCTCCTAATACACCTCAGAAGAAAGACCACTTAAGCTATTGTATTGGAATAATCTACAGACTCTCTTGAATATGTTGCTCCCATGATTTATTTTTAGCCTGTGGTCCTGGTGAGGAGTGGAATATATAGATGCTCCACTTAATCCTGCCATGTTCATGAAACGAGAGATATCACATTTACTTTTCTAGAGCAGCTTCTTCAGAATTAGTCGGAAAGCTAAATCTTCTCCTTGTGGAAGTAGCTATGCACATTGAGCTGTACTCTTCTACAAAATGTTTTCTAACTGCAATATCTCATTGGGATTTCTCATGATTCGTAATTTTATTCCTTACTATTTTTGGAACCAATCTTGTGCCAGCTACTCGTATAGTTTCTTTAATTAGTGATTAAAAAATGAATTCAGTCTGCTTTTCTAACTGCAGGACCGGATGCCTTTAATGCAGGAATGTATGCTAATCTGGTCAAACAAACATATCTCTGGGCTCATCCACTTAACAAACATTAGAAAAGAAATATGATGTTAATACACGGCCAATGAACCTTTGTTGTGGTCCAGGGATGATAATGTCTCAGACTCCTCCGTATTTGGATCTCTAAAAGCTCCTTCATTTGGTGTTTTAAGAAGCGCACACTTTGGCACCCAAAGATTTGTAATTCCTATTCCTTTGGACAACCAGCAGTACCCATGTCGTGGAGCAAAAGTTCACTTTTTTGTCCATTTTCTCATGTATTGGAGCAGATTATTCAACATTTTTGGGGAACATTTTCTTCTGCAATCTAGATGATCCTATTGATATAAAATTATATACCATTCAGTGTGCATTACTATATGCTCTATATTGAGCTGAAATCCATGTTGAGCTTTTGTTTTGTTATTACTAAGTACTATTTTGTTCCTACTTCATATTTCTGGATATCCTAATGTACAATCTTAGATCAAATTTGCAACTAGGTAAAGAAAGTACAACACCTTTACTCAAGAGCTTAGGTTTTGGAAAATCTGCATTCGGTATCACTCGGAAAGGAAGTAGAACAGCAACTCCAAAGGAAGATAACACACGACCCGGTGGTGAAAACTTTCAATCCATTTGCGGATTGGAGACTTGTAAAGATAAAATCCAGGAGGAGTTTTGAGGTTTGAGGACAACCAGTTAGGCAATAAAGGTATCCTAACTTGTTTACCTTATCGTTGGATAACCAGGAAATCTACTTTGTATATCAATAACATTTTTATACTTCATGGGTGAATTTGCAGGTCAGAAATGTGGTTCTTCAGTTGGTGTTTCCGCCACAGGGATCTGGTGTCATCGACAACACGAGGCCTTTCATATCACCATATTTAACCAATGGACTGTTGACCAACCTTCTTATTCCCATTTTTCAAGTACATTTCCTGGGGAAAGAGCAGGGGTTGATTATTCAAACGAAAATTTACAGAAACTGCAGTTACCCCATTTCCGAAGTCACAACAGTTTCCCCCAACACATCATTGATGATTGGCACTGGAAGTAGAGTGGAATATACTGCCCCAGATGTTTCTTTTTCTCTGTGGAACCACTCAAGGCTGTTTGCACCTTAAAAAACCAGCTTCCAAATCTTCCACTACCTCCACCTTTTATCAATATCTGCCACTCTATCACTTGTCCAATCTCCACTATCTCACCTTCCACATATCCTTTGTTAGCAAAGCCATCAGGCCATGATTTTGATCAAAAGAACCCTTTTCTCCCACTCCTTTTTAAACTACAGGAGGCACTTCACAGTCCACATTATGCTTGAATTTCCTAAAGCAGTCACAGCCTACAGCCTCCCCCCCCCCTCCCCCCCCCCCCAGGACTTCTTAATATTTCAAACACGCCACTTGCTGCGAGTAAAATTCTGGAAGTGTTTCTGAATATATATGGAATTAGATCTCACTAATAACTCTCTGGCATTTGCTTTCTGTCATAAATAATATGAAAGGCACCTTGTGGTCTATAAAATCTGTGAAGCGCTTCTATTGTGGTGTTGTACATCTAAGTTGTTGCTACTCTTGCAGCCTCGGTTCTTTTGTCCTCTGCAGCCAGAAATGACTCCTAAAGTTGGAGCAACACTTCTCACTCATCAACAGGTACACATGAACTTCTATTTTTTTTGTTTTTAGTATTCTCTCCAGTATAACTTAAAATTGCAATCAAACATGTTTTCTCTTGAGATGAAAACTGGTTCTTGGCATGGCACCTCAAGTGGGTATATGAGATTTAGGAGAAACTTTCTCTGTCTTATAAGACTAACTTATGCTTGCAGCCATGAAATATTTCAATGGTTTTCAGTTGATTTGTCTTTTGTCCTGGCAAAGTTCAATTTCCTTCTCCGCCCCAAACCAACCTCTTGGCGGAAATACTCATGACCTTCCTCTTTTCTTAGTCTATTACTATTTCATCTCCATTTATAAACCATTAGGATGTGGAGATTTTGTCTTCCGTGGAAATTCCAAACAGAACTTGTTTTTCTCTTGAGCCTGATTAGACTATTGCTTGCCCAGCACCTCAAGTAGGTCTACAAGATTCTGGAATTTAATTTCATTTCATGGTGTTTCTTCTCCATCTCATACGGCTAACCGATGCTTATAGGCACGTTAGATTTCAATGCTTTTTAGCTAATTGTGTTTTGGCTTCACGAAGTTCAATTTTTTTCCTCACCAAACCAACCTTTTGGTGAAATTCTACATGACCTTCCATTTTTCTTTTTTTAGTTCTCTCTCCGGTATAACTCCAAAATGACAATCTAACATGTTCTCTCTTGATCTGGAAAACTGTTGCTTGACATGACATCTCATGTTCGTCTGAGAATTTGGAGAAAGTTCCATTTGATGGTGTTTTTCTCTATCAGACAAGACTAACTAATGCTTGCTGCCATGACAGGTTTCTAAACTTTTGAGCTCTTTCGTGTTTAATTTTGACTTTTTAAAGTTTAGTTTCTTTCCCAGCCCTCACCGAACCACCTTTTTCGTGATATTACACATGCGCTCCCTCTTTTGTTATTCTTAGTACTCGCTCTGCTCTATTTCATACACAATGAAAATTTGGAGCTTTTCGATATCAGTTGGCATGAAAATTTGGAGCTTTGCAAAGTGTAGTTTCCTTTACCCCCTCACTAAACCACCTTTTTCATGAAATTTCACATGAACACACTCTTTTCTTATTCTTATTACTCTCTCTGCTCTATTCTATAAACCATAAGATGTTGAGGTTTTGTCTTCTGTTGAAATTAAATAAAACTCGTATTTTCTCGAACTGAAATTATTGCTTGGCATGGCACCTCAGGCGGGTCTGTGAGATTTTGGAATAATTTTCCATTTCATGGTGTTTCTTTTAACTTTGCACTGTGTCCTTTTATCTGCTATTTTTTTTTTCGCGGTCTCCATCTTTGTACCTTGATCTGCTGAACTTGAGCAGAGAATCTTTCGGAAACAACCTCTTTCCCCTCCTCAAACTCCACTTGTGGGATTTCACTGGGTATGTTGTTGTTCTTGTTAGTATGATGCTCCATTATAGTATCATAATATTTTTTTAATGAATAATCTTACATCACAGTTCTTATTTTTTTCCATGAGATGTACTTCCTTATAGAACTGTTCTTTTATGTTTGTTATTCTTCTAAGTTGTTGTGTCTTTCTAGTTTGAACTTTAGCCTAGTTTGCACCAGGTATCTGATGCTATAGGCATTAGGACCTGCTACGTTAAGATGGATGACCGATGACAATTGTAAGTATAATAGTTTCTTTTATTTTCACTTTCAGTTACCTTTACTTAAAAAAATGTATTAGTTTCTTTGACATTGATCTAATGCATTTTGATGTGCAGAAAGATCTGCTCAATTTATTATTTTACTTCATCACCTAAAGTTGTACTTTCAAAGAAAGGATCCAGTGTCTCACGAGATGTACTGGTGCTGATGGAGAAAGATATGTTCGTCTTTTTGCAAAATGTTGGACTGATAAGTTAAATTTCTACACTTCGTTTCCCTAACAACCACTGCTTAACTTGCAGGTCCTTCAATATTTCTGCATCCATTTATTTCAGTTTATTTTCCTGACCAAAGAAAACGGAGAACTGGTCTTTGGTTAACATTTACTATATCGGGTGTTTTTTTTAATGATGTTTTTGTTTCTTGACCTTTGTGGTGCAGATCTCAATGTAAGATTTGTTTCCAGAGGACCTATACATGTATTAGTACTTAATATCATAATAATGAGTTTTGACAGTGCTTCTGACATTGTGCAGCGAAGTAGATCTCAGATATATCCACTGTTATTGTTAAACCTAAACCGTCAAATATCTTTATATGATTTGACTTTTGGAGCCTTCAATGACCTCCACTGTGGAATTTAAGGTGAGATTTTTTATGGCATTTATTGTTTAGTTGTTTTGGGGTTGGGAACGAGTGAGTTATTGAGAATTGGTTTGGATTGTTTTCTGTCAATTTTTTTTTTAAAAACGCCTATTCATTTTTTAAACTTTAATGTGAGTTAAATAAATAGGTGAAAACTGGCTAAACATCATTAATTATTACTAATCGTATAGAATTTTAAAGTATTAAAAAGGACCCCCTAACAAGCAAGGCCCTTGCATCACAGCTGTTCCTGAAGAACAAAATAATCTCCCATTTGTTATGGGAGAACATTGCCAAACCATGTTTCTGGCTTCTTTTGGTTGCTGAAACATACAGGCTAATGTTAAAAGGGACATGTCATACATATTTGTTTCTCGATTTGAGTGCTGTATTTTTTATTATAATGTTTTTGCGGTTTCTAAGACTGACGTTTTGTCCTGTTTGAACTTAGTCTCCTGGTTTTTGCTTACCCAATCATTTCTATTTCCCTTTAAATGGATTTTGCAGTTCTCAAAATTTTCGTCAATTTTTCATATATCTAGATATTCGTTACATCAAACTTTTTGGAGCCTTGCTTATCTTTAGGAGATGGTGACATCCAGCTTCATATTGAGTTTTTGATTTTTTACCAAGTAGTATTTTTAAAAAATTATATGGTTGTTTGTTGCTTCTCTATGATTTCTTGAAACTCCAAATAGAAATTTATTGCATACATCGGTAATTCTTGTTAATAAGTTTGTGTTGTTTTTGTCACTGCACCACTAGAAGAATATTTGTCGTGGGATGTATATTTATCCTATAGGTATCAATTTTGGGTTGTACTAGCCCCAAGGCTTTGGTCAGTGATGAGGACTCAAAATGGGATTGTACAGGGAACATGTCCCAAGTTTGAACCCTATCATTGACAATGAGCTTGATATTTAAGTGGGATCAAGGCAGAGAGGTTGCTTATAATCTCAGCAGTCTCAAATTTGTAGGTCAATTTTTTTTTTTTGAGAAGGATTTGTAGGTCAATGTAAGCCATCTATTTAACGAGACAATTATGTTATTCAGAAAAAAAGAAGAAGTTGAGCTTTAATATGACAGAGACAAGTATTAGATAAGTAATATGAATGTTGAAGAGAAGCTTATGGCAACTAGTTGATTCTTAATGTTACTTGTAGGACTGGGGCCATCTTTCTCTTTATTGAGGATATTGTTTCGAATCTGTGGACTGGAAGTAATTCCCGGTGAGAGAAATTGTGCCCGACATTCTTGTGCATCATCACTTAGGATTCATTGTTTGTTATTTGTACTTGTGGCTTTGTTCACTCCACATTCCCATCCCTGTATGCTGTAGCCCCCAATCTGCCTCCCTAGGAGAGGGGGAGGAAACAAATTGTGGAAGGTTGGTTAGTTAGTGAAAGATAGAATTACTTATGCATCAGATGGTGCAATGCATTTCAATGTTATGCCATCGTGTAGTTTTATCACCTTCTTTTCTCGTTAGTTACTTCAGGAAAACCTAAATAAGAATTTACTTGTGAAGTATCCTCTTCATCTATTGTTATCGCATTCCCTGACCCTCTTTTCAGATTATACCTGTGAATTATGAGATCAGGTAAAAGAGGTGCAACCCCAGAGATACAAAGCGACACTTGAACTTCCTTCCCGGCAGCCAAAGAAACTGACTGGAAAGTGCACTGTCTGAAGAGAGATTCGATCTTAACAGAATATTCTGTGGGAAGTGCTTCTGATTACGCAAGCTCCTCCAGATTCATCCCAAGCTGCTATATGACAGCTCTAAAGGTGAGAAGTTTGCAGACCGTTGCTCCCTTGTCTACGCTGCCACCTGATGGATCACTAATTGAAGTGACAAAGGGAGCTGAGGCCTCTCATTAATTGTCAACATGGAACTTGAATGTGGTCCTGGAACGAGATATTGGCGACATGAATGGCCTCCCTCTATAGAAACAAGTGATTCTATGAATTCCCCTCTTCCCATGTTTTTTGCCATTCCATGGAATGACACATCGGGTAAAATGGGCAGGTGTTTTGGGACTCAAAAGCCCCTTTTCTTAGTATATTATATATAGTTGTCCTTATTTTGTAATTTTATTAATTTGCTTAGACATAATTTCTGTTAAGTCTATTTGATGATCTATAGCAGGTTTCTTCTGTAGTTGATCAAGTTGATACACTCTCCTTCTCAAGTAGCATGGAGGGACCATTTTCATCATTCAAGCCTGAGCTCTTGTCCAACAGTTTGTTCAATTCATATATTTAAATGATTTCTCTTGAGATTTATTTTATGCATGTTTGAGTTATACCACCCCTGAGTTTCTATTTTTTTATTTTTTTTACTTTCTAATGTTTGGTGTTAATTTAATTTTATTGTGCAGGATCTTAAATGCAGAGATATTCTTGGGTGGTCAAATAATTAAGTTGAGCAGGGTGGTCATCATATAAACTCTACTGTATATTATGAATATTTTTTTTTTGGGTTAATTTAAGATTAGTAATGGTATGAAACAATTAAAGTTATGGAGATTTTAGTCTCTCATTTATTTGAAGCCTTAACTTTCCATTTGATGCTTTTTCTCATCCTCCTTCAATGTGACTATGCAAATTTCTCATGATTTTTTTGAGCTTCAAACCTTTAATGTGTATTTCATGTATCAAGACATCTTTTTGAGCATTTTGTTATAATGTCTGTGATAATTTATTTTACAATTATTTGATTTGGTCTTATGTATCTATTTTGTGGTGTATTTGAGATAATTAAAAAATATATATATTAACATTTAAATATTGTAATACTAAGGTACTATGCTCCGGCAAGTAGGAGTTATTTTTTTGTTGTTAAATATGATAACAAACTGTTTATTATGAATTTTTTTTTTTTGGGTTATTTTTATACTCAATGGAATAGACTTTTTAGTAAAATAAGTAAGTACTAATATAGAAATTATGTAAAATAATATAGTTTGCATGAACGCGTTTTGTTTTGTGCCTATGCTATAAAATAGATCCCACTGTACGAACAACTCACCACCATCACCGCTACCGGAACTTCATACGCCGGTAGCGGAGTACGCAACCGAATGGGAACCCCAAAACCCGAATCAATTTCCCGCCTTCGAGTAATATTACTGCTTTGCCGAAATCGATGGTATTGTAAGATTTTCTCGGAGTTCTTGGAAAATCAACTCGATGGCATTGTAAGATTTTCTTGGAGTTCTTGGAAAATCAACTCGATGGCATTGTAAGATTTTCTTGGAATTTTTGAAGTTACTTTGGTATTATTAGATGCATATGTAAGGAAATCAAAGATGGTAGTTTTCAAGAATATGAAAAGGAACTTCAAGAAATCTTTATTATTTTAAAAAAAAAATTCAAGAATTTGCTTTATTTCTGTTGGGGGTTTTCTTGAATGATTTCACAAGGATTTTTTTAAAACAAGGTGTACTATTTTACCCTTTCAACTTTCAAAGGTATTGAAAGTGAAGTTGTGGAATTGTTCTTGAAGGCCCACTGTACAAGATTTTAGAAGTTTTGATTCGAAGTATTTGAATAAAGGTAGCCATTTTCCTCTACTTCGGTCTACAGAATTGGAAAATCATGCCAGGTAAGAGAATGGAAATTTTACGATTTTGTTAATGTTTTGAGGATTAGCAGAGGTGGGCTGTTGGGAAAATCATAGTTAAGTGAGTAACGATGGGAGGTGGGACTTCCGTGCAGTTATAATCTTTTACGCTAGTTGCACCTGCAAATTTGTGTGTTGCTTGCAAAATAGGCAGTGATCAGTTAGACTTATCATTTAACTTTTATGTTACATTCTTGCTGCTTCTGATGGTGGCAGCCTATGCTTTATATGAAAATTGATATGATTTTTTCTCCTTTTTAGTATGATGACCATTCTAGTATTATAATTTTCTTTCCAAATAAATACTCTTACACACAACTCTGATTTCTTTTTTCCATGAGATTTACTTCCTAATAGGATTGCTTTTAATGTTTGTTATTGATTTGTAGTAATTTGAATGAAGGCACTTGATTGGACAGACTTCCATAAAGGTCCATACTGGCCACTTCCATTTGCATGATCTAGACTTTCTGACTTCGATTGTTTCTTAAAAATGCAAAAATGTGTCATTTAAGAGAAGAGGGAATTACATGGTTCATATTTTCTGATTTTGTTAATGTTTTGTGGGCTGCTGAGAACATCATAGTTAAGTGACTTAGGATTGCTTGCATAAAAGGCAGTGACCGATGAGCACTTCGATGAATTCTTTATGTTCCTTTGTTAACTTCTTTTGGTGACGAGGGCATATGCTTTATATGAAAATTGATACTATTGTTTATCTTCTTTAGGATGATGCTCCATTCTAGTAACATAATTTTTCCCCAAAGAATATCCAAATATCACAACTCTTATTCCCTTTTTCCATGAGATTTACTCGACTGTTCTTCTTATGTTTGTTTTTCTAAAAGCTCTGTACTCGTACTTTGAACTTGGAACCACTGTCACCAGATGTCTGTTGCTATTGGCATTGGGACCTGCTATGTGCCTGGTTCTTTCATCTTCTGTTTATGCTTCCTTTTTGTCTGGCTATTTTAACTATGGTTTCGTATGCTTGCTTTACACCAGCTACATCAAAATACAGCCATTAAGATGAATTGCATACTTTCCAAGCAAGTTTTGGCTTTGAAGGAGAGGCTCTTGGATCTATTTCCGACGTTTCTTTAATGGAAATAGTTACTATACTTGCGGGAAGCCAAATGGATATCGTAAGTTTTTTCAGGTAAAGTTCTTTAGAGTTTTAGTTCATAGCATGCATTAGGATAGGTGTAAAACTACTAACTTGGCCTTTTTTCTTGCCATTGTTTACAGGATGGCAAGTGTTTGTACTTTGTACCTTGAAATTGATGATTGTAGACAAAATGTTGGTACAACAGGTATTCTGTATAAGCAGCCTACTTGATACAAGAGTCTACAATTGTTTGCTAATAAGGTAATTTTCTTTGGGATTTTTCTCTTTGGAGTCATTGTTCGTCATGTATTTTACAACCAACCGGTTCGAAGGAAGCAAATGCACTCCAAGTACTTCTAGTTTTCTCACAATTGAAACAAATAAAATATATTGATTTGTATACTTTATACTTTTAAAGTTGTACTCTGGCCTAACTGATCTTTTGGTTTGCATATATAGTCTTGGAAGTCTAAATAGGGTCTTGCATTCTCTGCAAGAGTCTTTCCTAAGAACTGCCCTCGTGCATCCCAGTGTCTCCTTCAAAATTGTTGATATTGAAGGTCTATCTTTGTTATACCTGCTAACTTAAGGGTATTTCCTGTCTTGTTTCTTAGATTTTATAAGTTTGTGTGCAGTGAGGATGACCTACTTTGCACACGTGCTTCTCCTTCTCTGTTGCTGCTATTGTTCAGTGGGTTCAAATTGTGAATGCAAGCGATGGTTCATTTAAGCTCTAAGGATACATCTCAGGTCCTGATGTTACAGTGAAGGTATACAATCCCAAATTGATGGATAAAGAGATGTGATAAGTCATCTTTTCTACACTTAGTACCGCTACTTAATCTTATGTACTCTTGTGACGTCTGACCTAGATGACTGTTAATAGGGGTGGAGACTGTATTAGTTCGTGGAGGATTTGGTGATAGAGGTGTGGAGGATAAAATTCTTGCAGCCAAAATATGCCTGTGGAAACAGGATTCCTTACCTGGGCACACATCGAGGCAGGCAAATCGCTGTTATCGAGTATGCTAGATCCATTCTTGGGTTGCAAGATGCAAACAGTACAGAGTTTGATCCCAACACTCACAATCTTTGGGTAATTTTTCTGTCGGGAGTTAAGTTCTGATACTCCCCCTTCATCATGAATTTCCCTCATGATCTTCATGTGTTTGAGGTCTCATTTTTGTAGCAGCTATATTAATCTATTGACCAAGTTCACAGGGTTCAAAAGCGCATACAGGTGTACCATGCGTCTTGGATCAAGAAGAACGCATTTCCAAGTCAAAGATTCTAAATCTGCAAAACTATAAGTACTTCCTTTCCTCCAACCTCACTGCATTGGTTGTATCTTGATCTGAAGCCATTCTGGAGGGCTTCTCCTATTGATATTACCATGTGGTTAAACTATATCGTTTCTCAGATTTGGCGATCGGAGCTTTATAGATGAGAGGCACCGTCATAGATATGAGGTTCAACAGTTTTCTTTTGTTAAATTTGGAACTGTGGTGTAATTATTGCACATCTAGGTGGACTGGTTTAATAATTATATGTGGACCATAAGGTGTGATATCTTTAGTAATGGATGCATTCTAAAAACCTATCCTGTGCTATGTAGGTGAATCTTGATATGGTGCAGCAATTTGTAGATGCTTGTCTTTCTTTCACTGGCAAAGATGAAAGTGGTCGCTGCATGGAGGTGAACCTTGTATTTAATTGAATTATGAAGTCATGATAGAAATTCGTAGTAATGTTATTTGTTTTATTATTATGAATCCATTGAGTGGAAAGATGTGGAGTTTTTCTTGTTGAAGGCCACACTCGCACAACTCTAAAAAACAAGTAGTTTAATTATAAGAAATTGTGATTTGTAGTATTTTGAACGAAGACACTTGATGGGGCAGGCCTTCGTATACACCCTTAGTGGTCATTTTCTTCTACATGGTCTAGGCTTTTATTATCTTCTTAGAAATGAACATGATCTAGACTTTTTGATTTTGATTGTTCCTTAAAAGTTGAAAATTGTGTCAAGTAAGAGAATAGGGGGGGGGGGGGGGGTTGTGTGTTCTGATTTTGTTTATGCTTCGAGGATCAATAGAGGTGGGCTGCTGAGAATATGTCAACTCATTCTTTAGTGCAATTTTAATCACTTAGAGTAGTTGCAGAAAAGGCAGTGATCGGAAAGGCTTTTCAATGAATTCTTATGTTCCTTGGTTTGCTACTTTTGATTACAAGTGCATATGCTTGTTATGTTTGTTATTCTTATAAGTAGAGTACTCCTAGTTTGAACTTAACCCAGTTTCCACTAAGTATATTTTGCTATATGAATTGGGACCTGCTATGTTAAGGTGGATGACAATGGTAAATATTAGTTCTTTGGCATTGATCTAATGCATTTGATGTGCAGAAAGTTTTTCCCAATTTATTATACTTCATCATCTGAAGTTGTAACTTCTTTTGAAGGATCTGATGGGAAAAAAATTTGGTGATCTTTCTGCAAAATGTTGAACCAACATTGTCTTTTTTTTTTTTGTATTGATACTGCTATACATAATTTCTTTTGCAAAATAGGCAGTGATCAGGGAGGCTTTTCATTGAATTCTTATGTTACTTGCTTTGCTGCTTCTGATGGTGAGAGCCTATGCTTTATATATGAAGATTGATACTATTTTTTCTCCTTTTTAGCATGATGCTCCATTCTAGTATCTCATAATTTTCTTTCCAAATGAATATTCTTACACACAACTCTGATTTTTTTCCCCATGAGATTTACTTCCTTATAGGACTGCTTTTAATGTTTTTTATTCTATAAGTTCTATACTCCTAGTTTGAACTTTAGTCCAGTTTCCACTAGATATCTGTTGCTATTGGCATTTGACCTATTATGTGTCTGTTTCTTTCATCTCTTGTTTATGCTTCCTTTTTGTTTGTCAATTTTAACTATGGTTATGTATGCTTGCTTTACACCAGCTACATCAAAATTCAAGATACAGCCATTAAGATGAATTGCATACTTACCGAGCAAGTTTTGTCTTAAAAGGAGAGGCTCTGTTACTGACGTTTCTTTGTTGGAAATTGTTTCTAAAACTCATGCGGAACCAAATGGATATTGTAAGTTTTTCAGGTAAAACTCTTTTGAGTTTTAGTTCGTAGCATCCATTAGGATAGGTATAAAACTACAAACTTGGTGGATAAAGAGATGTGATAAGTCATCTTTTCTACACTCAGTACCTCTACTTATTCTTATGTACTCTTGTGACGTCTGACGGAGTCATCTGTTTATAGGGGTGGATGTTGATTTGAAGCCATTCTAGAGGGCTTCTCCTATTGATATTACCGAGTGGATAAACTATATCTTTTTTCAGATTTGGCAACAAGAGCTTTGTAGATGAAAGGCACCGTTGTAGGTGTGAGGTTCAACACTTCTTTTTTATTAATTTGGAACTATGGTGTAACTATAACACATCTAGGAGGACTGTTTTAATAATTATATGTTGAACATAAGATGCGATATCTTTACGTAGGGATGCATGCTAAAAACTTTTCCTGTGCTATGTTGGTGAATCTTGAAATGGCGCAACTATTTGAAGATGCTGGCCTTTCTTTCACTGGCAAAGATGAAAGTGGTCGCCGCATACAGGTGAACCTTCTATTTTTATGTTTATTTTTTGATAATTACAGGTGAACCTTTTATAGAATTGAATTATGAAGTCATGATAGATAGTCTAGTGTTATTGGTTTTATTATAATTGAATTATGAATCCATTGAATGGAAAGATGTGGAGTTTTTCTTGTTGAAGGCATTTGCATAACCCCTAAAAAATAAGTAGTTTAATTATAGTTGTGATTTGTATTATTTTGAATGAAGACACTCAATTGGACAGTCTTCCGTATACACCCTCAGTGGTCATTTTCTTTTACATGGTCTTAACTTTTTATCTTCTTTGAAATGAACATGGTCTGGACTTTTTTATTTAGATTGTTTCCTAAAAGTTGAAATTGTCAAGTAAGAGAATGGGGAATTATATGTTTTCTGATCTTGTTGATGTAGTTTGAGGATAAATAGAGATGGGCTGCTGAGGATATGGCAAGTTGTGCTTTAATGCAATTTTAATCGCCTAAACTAGTTGCACAAAAGGCAGTGCTCGGTGAATCTCTTCAATGAATTCGTATGTTCCTTTGTTCGCGAGGGCATATGCTTTATATGAAAATTGATATACCTTTCTCCTCTTAGTATGACACTACATTCTAGTATCCAGTTCTGTTAAAAGTGTTGAAGCGCTCGCTTTAAGCGAGAAACAAAGCGTCGCGACATGATTGTGTTTTAATGCCTTGAAGCTAGGTAATAATGGAGAAGTGTGCGCTTCTGTCTCAAAAGCGAGAAATGCGCTTTTTATAAAAGCAAAAAAAGGCTCGCTTATTAAATGAGTTAAGCGCTAATTAGTTTTTTTAAAAATTTTTTTTAAAAAAAATTCTGTAAATATACTTATGCATATCTTTCCAATTATTTTCCCTCCTTGGTCGACTGTTGCGACTGTTGCTACAGCTTAATTCTCTTCTCTTCTTCTCTTTTTGTTTCTCTGTAGTGCTGCATATGTAAACGTTGATGTTGACGTTGACCTTTACGTAAACGTTGATTTTGACGTTGACCTTTACGTAGACGTTGATGTTCATGTTCACATTCACGTTCACATTCATGTAGACGTTGTTCACATTGATGTTGATGTTCACGTTCACGTTAACGTTCACAGTCACGTTGACGTTGATGTTCACGTTCACGTTTACATTTATGTGTACGTTGACGTTTACATTGACGTTGATGTTGACTTACATTGACGTTTACGTTGACATTTATGTTGATGTTGATATTTATGTTTATGTTTACGTTGACATTCAGATTGACGTTGATGTTCACATTTATGTTAACAATGACGTTTACGTTGACATTGACGCTAACATTGACATTTACGATTACCTTGACGTTTACGTTGACATTCACGTTCATGTTCACCTTAACGTTAACGTTCACATTGATGTTGACGTTGACGTTCACATTGACATTTACGTTCACGTTCATGTTCACGTTTATGTTGACGTTCACATTAACGTTGACGTTGATGTTGATGTTGATGTCAACGTTAACGTTGACGTTGATGTTCATATTCACGTTCACGCTGACGTTTACATTTTACGTTGACGTTCACCTTCACGTTGACGCTGACGTTGATGTTCAAGTTGATGTTCACGGTGATGTTGATTAGACGTTCACGTTGATGTTGACTTTCGTGTTGAGCCCCGTAAATGAACAAATAGGTGGACTTTTTGGAAATGTTAAAACAAAAGGTTTCCGCTCGCATCTCGGAACATGTCTCAAGTTGGAACCCTATCATCGACAATGAGACTAACACACGATGAGGAGTCAAAAGAAGGTAACCAATTCCTGTCATTTGTTTGATTGTCTAAGAACTCATTGAAGGGTCATTTCAACTTGGAGTTTGGAACTTATTGAATTATCGCTCAGCTAAAAAAATGGAACTATGTACGCATCCCAAAAACTTATTGGTATGCCGAGAAACATCCTATGGAGAGAGAGAAAGAGGTGAAATATATTATGTTGCTCACTACTGTAAGCAGAGATATTTTGATTATTTCTTCTAGCTAAAGCTGAGTTGATTACGTATTGTTACTTAAGTACTTTAGCGCCAATTTATGGAGACAAATAGACAATATATGTGTCTGTTTCTTGCATCTTCTGTTGTGTTTCCTTTTTGTCTAGGCATTTTATCTATGGCTCTGAATGCTTACTTTACACCATCGACATCAAAATACAGCCATTCAGGTGATATACATGCTTTCCCAGCAAACTTCTGCTTAAAAGGAGGGCTCTGAGCTCTATTTCAGACGTTTCTTTGTTAGAAATTGTTACTAAACTCACAGGAGGCCAAATGAATATCGTAAGGTTTTAAAGATCCCATTCTTTTGAGTTTTATATGGTAGTATCCATAAGGATGAGTATAAAACTACTAACCTGGTTTTTGTTCTTGCCATTGTTTATAGGACGGCAAGAGTTTGTACCTTGGAATTGATGATTGTTGACAAAATGTCTGTACAACAAGTAATCTGTATAAGACTACCTGCTAGTGATAAGACTACCTGATAGTGATAGATGAGTTGACTGTTGTTTGCTAATAAGGAACTCCCTAGGAATTTTTCTTTTTGCAGTCATTGTTCCTGATGCTTTACAAACAACTAGTTCGAAGGAAGAAAATGCATTCCAAGTACTTGTAATTTTCCTCAAATTCAAACAAGTAAAAAATATTATTTACATACTTAGTTTCTTAAGTTCTCTGTCCTGATTGATCTTTTGGTTTACATGTATAATCTGAAAGCCCAAAGAGGGTCTTGCATTCTCTGAAAGAGTCTCTGCTGGAAATCGCCCTTGTGCATCCCAATGTCTCCTTAAAAATTGTTGTTATTGAAAGGTCCATTTTTTAAACACCAATTAATTTAAGGATATTTCCAGGCTGGTTTCTTAGATTTTTTAAATTTGTATGCACTGGATGACCTGCTTTGCACATGTGCTTCTACTTCTTTGTTGCCGCTATTGGTCAGTGGGTTAGGGATTCATCTGAGTTCCCTTAACAAATTGAATGCAAGTGATGGTTCATTCAAGCTCTCTGGATACATCTAAGGTCCTATGTTTACACTGTGAAGGTATACAGGCCCAAATTGATGGAGAAGAGATTTGAAAAGAATCTTAAGAATTATTTTGTATCATGAGCTATGCTCTCCTCTAGGGTTGATGGGGACTCGCAAGAATAAGTTCTATGCTGGAAATAGAGGTAAAACGGTTGATCTTATTAGGAAGACAAAGAGTAGAAGAAATCATTCAGCTTCCCATTTTAACAAGGCAAGAATAAGTTCTTTGCCATGAGTGAGTCTTCAAGAAAGGCAGCAGTAAATAACAGTATTAAGATTGTTCATGTTGTGCCACTCATGGCAGGTAATATGTCCTAGAGTTATTGTTTATGTTAATAATCAATGATGACAGAAAATGTGTGAACTAATTAATGTTCTGTTCATTGTGCTGAAACTAGAGCAATAAGGAGACTGCATCATTCTGCAGAAGCTATCTGCTGGGAGCTTCCACAGCAGTATGATCAATCTTCCGCCCCAAGTTGTGATAACGGTGTATTCTCTGATGAAAGATAATGTTATTAAATTTCTTGGGAGGGTTAGGTACTAACTTGATGTTTATCTCTTTAGGCTAAGTATGAAAAGGGAACTTATTAACATCTGGAATAGCAAATTACAAGCTCAAGGGGAGAGCACAGGTACACGCGATGGGGTGTCGAAAGAAGGTTAACTATTCCTGTCATTTGTTCCTGACCTGAATAAACCTGAATTTTCCTGGTGCATAATTCGGTCAATTTGCTTCATTTCTTTCACTCTGCACCGTTTGTAAACCATGAGGATGTGGAGGTTTGTCTTTTATGGAAGTTCAAAAAACCTTGTTTTGTTTCGAGCTGATTAAACTGTTATTGGGACGGCACCTCAGGTGGATCCATGAAATCTTGGAATTAAATTTCCATTTCATGGTGTTTCTTCTCCATCTCATACGACTAACTGATGCTTTAGCCACAAAGGTTTCAATGCTGTTGAGCTAATCACGTTTTGGCTTCACAAAGTTCAGTTCATTTCCTGGTGTTTTTTCAGTCTCACAAGACTATCTGAATGCTCGCAGCCATGACAGGTTTGTAAGCTATTGAGTTGATTCGTGTTTTGACTTGACAAAGTTCAGTTTCTTTCCCACCCTCACTGAACTACCCTTTTCGTGATGATACACATATACTCCGTCTTTTGATATTTTTACTACTCACTTTGCTCCGTTTTAAACACAATGAAGATTTGGAGGTTTTCATAGCTGAAGACTGTTGCTTGGCACGAAATTTCAGGTGGGTCTATGAGATTTTTGGAGAAGTTCCATTTTTTGGTCTTTCTTCTCTGTCTCATAGGCAAACTGATGTTTGTAGCCATGCTGGGTTTCAAAGCTTTTGAGCTAATCGTGTTTGGGTGTCGCGAAGTTCAAATTTTTTTGTTGTAATTCTTTCCTTTGGTGAAACTACACAACCATTTACTTTGCTTGTTCTTATTACTATCTCTTGTACGACTCAAAAAAACCAATTTAGCATGTTCTCTCTTGAGCAGAAAAACTGTTGCTCGGTATGACACTTCAGGTGGGTATATGAGATTTAGGAGAAAGTTCCATTTCGTGGTGCATCTTCTCTGTCTCGTTAGGCAGGCTAACTGATGCTTGCAGCCATAAAAGATTTCAAAGCTTTTGAGTTGATTCATGTTCTGGCTTGGCAAAGTTCAGTTTCCTTTCACCCCTCCCCAAACCACCCTATTCGTGAAATTATACATGATCTTCCTCTTTTCTTACTCTTATTTTTCTCTCTGCTTTGTTTTATTAACCATGAGGATGTTGAGGTTGTCTTCTATGGAAGTTCAATAAAACTCGTTTTCTCTCGAGCTGAAAAACTGTTGGTTGGCATGGCACCTCAGGTGGGTCTATGAGATTTTGGAATTAAAATTCCAATTCATGGTGTTTCTTCTGACTTTGCACTGTGTCCTTGTTATACTAGTCTGTGGAACTTGATAAAATTGCCATTTACCAGAAGTTTCATTGCATAAACTTTGCAACATTCACTAAAGTTAACCCTAACACTGTACATGGAGTTGTATGTTTTTGGTTAAAGCAGGAACTTAAATCTGATCCACAAGCAGCCAAGATCTGTCACACTTGTTGCGGTAACATTCTCCAATACTTGTCTCTGTCATGTTATATATTCAAAAATTTAAGTACATGTATACTGTTTGCAAATCAGTCTAAGAAGGGAAAGGTTTTGTTGTACTGATTCTAATTGTTAATACAAGATTAGTTGGTTGGTTACCTACATTCTTAAACCTTTTACTACACTTCATAGCTTATTCTCTTCAATATTCATATTTGTCCCTCTGAAGGATATATGCCTGTCTAAATGTGGAAAACAAAGCATGACAATCACTTCTTCCATTCTGAGGTATTATCAATAACAGTTTAGATCAATTCTGTGCTCCATCGTGTTGAAAGCCAGAAGCATTTTTGAGGTTTCATGAATTTCAAGTGTCATTTGTGTGTATTGTCTCTTGAGATCCATTTTATGTTCTAATTGGGTTGATTAAAGTAACTTATAAGGGAAGAGCTTTTTTGTTCTTAATACCATCAGTAACAAGCCAATGCTAGAGGTTCTCTCTTTTTGAACTGTAAGACCTTGAAGCTTTAATAGCTTCCAACTTAATTTGGAAAATTATTTATGCCCATCATTCATGTTATATGAAATACTCCACTAGCTAACAAGATTCTCTTGCACGTGTTTCATAAGAAAATAATTGTACAGGTTCCTTGTATTTTGTGCATTAATCTAACAGTGTTATGGATTTGTTTCAACAGTTTAGTCCATCGATGCTAACTAGCTTTCATATTTTACTCCTTCATTTAACTCTAGCATTTCTCATGGAATCCTTGCTCATGTGTCTCTGAATAATGTATTTGCAACCGACAGCTTGTCAAAGGTCTCCTAGAGGCATGGAAATCTAAACCTCTCCAGGTAGAACCAAGGTATAGCAGAAGTCAAAAAATTTCAGAAAAATCTTCATTTACTTGAGGACATTCTAGAGGAAGATGATCATCTTATGGATTCCGATAAACAGACGGAAAATTATGGTTCTGGCCTGCTATCTTTTTGTCCAGTCTCCTCTGCTACCAGATGCTTTGCTCGGGACCAGGTTTGAAGATGGGATTGAATTTTCTACTAAACAGGAAACATGGAACATTATCTTAAGAGGATTGCTTGTTCCCAAATCCTGCAAAGTTTGATCTAAATTGTTATCTTCTTTTCAGAGAGGAGCCAGTATATCCATGGAATGTTTACAGTTGAGCTACTTCTGAATTTCTAATAATAAGACTTCTTTTTTTGTTTCTTTTCTTTTTAAAAAAACATTTCTTTTTTCTGCATCTCAATTTTATAATTAAAATAAAATAATAATGTGTATACTTTTAACGCATAAAATAGGTCGGGGCTGGGCGTTCGGTTTAATCAAATTTCGGTTTGGTTTTTCGGTATTCGATTTTAGAAAAGTGTGCACCATAACTTATGCCAAACTAGATCGGTTCGGTTTAGTTCGGTGTTTTTAAATATGTGAATAAAAATTAAGAGGAAATATGATAAAGTGTTAAGAGTTTTATCATGTATTTAAAAAAATAAAGTGGGCACAGATGATTTTTTTGGCAAAGATGTCAAAGCATTTGTTTCCGTTTCTTAGCATAGATGGTTGTCATTTTGCTAAAGCCTAAAAACTTTCTTGCATACTAGAATGCTGAATGAATAAAGAAGAAAATGTTGAATGAATAAAGAAGAGAGCAAGCAGCCTAGCAAGAACAATGTCACGATGAAACTTTCGTACAACCAAAATATAAAGACTCACAATACTTTATTGATATTATATTTGTTGTTATTTAAAAATTGAAAATTTAAATAGGTCATGTAAATATTTTGAGTCAATATAGGTCATATAAATATTTTGAGTCAAAATTAAATATTTTGAGTCAAAATTCAAAAGTGTATAATTTAAATATTTTTAAATTTAGTAAAGAAAACTTCGATTCTTCGGTGCACCATAGTTTCGGGATCCTTACACCGAACTCTAAATTGAAAAATCAAAGTTTCGAAAAAAGAAAATCGATACCAAATCATAACACGGAAGAATCAAAAATTTTCGATTCAATTCACTTTACCAGAATTTATGCCACCCCTAGTCATTTATATCACCTTGGGGGTAGTTTCGACGGTTTTTACAAAATTTAGAATTTTCATATTTTTTATAATTAAAAATATCAGTTGAGCAAATTAAATTTCACAGGCAAAGTTGAAATTATGTCCAAACTGCTTTAATAGTTTTGGATCATTTTTTCTTTTTGAAATAATTACAAAATATTTTGGTTGATGATTTGAATGCAAGGGAGTTAATTGTCTTGCTCAATATATGAAGAGTCCTGTTATGCACATCTAAATGGTTATGTAAAATTTTTTTTTTTTTTGTCTAAGTCATCTCGAGCACTCAAAGTTGTCCGCATAATTCATTTAGACACCTCAACTAATTCTTGTGTCAATTGAACCTTTATTTGTTCAAAAGTCATTCCTATTAGACACAAAATGCTGACATGACAAAAAACGTGTAATTCACTTTCCTTAAGCACGTTAATTTATTAAAAATAATATTTTTATTTTTTTTTCTTAATTTATACCCCTAAGTTAATTTTTTTAAAAAAAATTAACAAAAAAAAAGAAGAACAGTTGTTCTTCTTCCCTATTTCTATCAACCCCACCCCAACCCCCATACACATACACCAGTGATTATCTTCTTCCCCCACCATTCTAATGATTTCAAAATTCTTAGTATCAGTGGTTATCTTCTTCACCCACCATTCTAATGGTTTCAAAATTCTTAGCATTTTGTTTCATTTATAAATTTTTTGGAGAGATTTTTTTCTCCATCTTTCTCTACCTAAAAAACGAGATGAAGTAAAAAGTTATAATTAATAAAAAAACTGATGAAAAAAAAATTGTCGGGTTAAAGATGGAACTGTACAGGGAGGGGAGGATCGCCATTAATGGAGTTAGAGGAAATGTATGTTTTCTTCCCGTTGAAGGCAGTGGGTGTTTAAGTTTTACTCTTTTTTTTTCTTTTTTTTTACTTTAAAATAATTTTTTATTTTTTTTTACTTTATAATATAATGTTTAAATAATTTTTTGGATTAAAAAATAACACATGTCATTATTTAATTGGTCAAATTGACATGTCAGCGCGAGTGTATTTCACACATCCTCTATTTTTTGTTTATTCTCGAAAAAATGTTCAAATGGTTCAAATTCAGAATGATGAGGTGTCTAAATGAATAATCGGGACAAATTTGAGTAGCTGCATATAACTTTGGCCATTTTTTTTTAAAGAAATAGTTTGTCTTTGTTGTGCGGAATTTGAGATAATACGAGAAAATATATAAACGCGAAAAACAAGACAACAGATTTACGTGGTTCACCAATAAATTGGCTACGTCCACGGGAAGAGAGGGAGCAGTTTTATTATGGAGAGGCAAAAACAGAATTACGAAATAGGATTTGTCATAGCGTCTATATGTTTGTAACGGGTCCGATTCAAGACATTCAACAGTCTTAATATGTAATCTAACATAATAATAAATATCCTCTCCGCTTCATATTATTTATTTGTTTGTTTTTTACTAATTTTTTTATTATACTTAAAAAATAAAAGAAATATAAGTAATACTATTTTGCTATAATAACCCGAAAAATAATTTGAGAAATTATTTTAATTAATAATAAATTGACGGAGGGAGTAATAATACAGTAGTTCTTAATAAATAGTTTAGGAAAAGGAAATATCCAACGGGTTGATTCGGTAGACTATTATACTCTCCACCGGCGCCAACTCTCCACCGGCGACGTACGAATCTCTTTATCGGCCGTAATCGACCGGTAAGTTTACTGACCTCCCTTTGCGTCTTTCGGTCTCCTATTATAGATGTCCTCCAGAACCCTAATTCAAATAGACTCCATGTGTTAATTGGCGAAGTTATTTAGGTTTGAATTGTTTCTAATGCTTTGTTTGTATAGAATTCCTTCAATTCGTTTTCTGCAGTTTTTTTTTAAAAAAAAAATTCAACTGATTTTGCGTTCTTATATGCTTTCGATGTTGTAATTGCTTCAAGGGTGGGTTTGTGGATACGGTACTAATCTGCCCTTGAAGTATTACCAATGAACTTTCAGCGGATTTTTAGTACAGAAAGCTAAATCAGAGGCTAAAAGGTGGAGTTTTTTCATTTGGGGTTGTGGAGTTTCAGCACTTTGGGGAATTCATAGATCTAAATATTTGTCAAATCCTTTTAATTATTCAAGTTAACAATTTCGATTTCTGATGTGCTTCAACTAACAACTAAGAATTTAAGACGAATCTCTTATCTATCTATCTCGGAAATCCAAACTATTATTTAGCTTCCAGATTGCCTCTTTAGTTGATTTAGACAAGTTGGTATCGGAATTTGTTTGTACTCAATTTCATTCCTGGCTTACTCTCCCATTTGGTTGCTTTTATTTGTAGGTATTAAGGGTAAGCAAGAGAGTAATTTCCGTTCTCTGATAGTGTGTCTTATTTGGGAGTTGGAATCAGTGTAAGTTTTGTGGATTTTTGATGGCTCTGAAGTTTCTGAATAAGAAGGGATGGCACACGGGGAGTCTTCGAAACATTGAAAATGTATGGAAAGCAGAGCAGAAGCATGACGCCGAACAGAGGAAGTTGGAGGAGCTCCGCAAGCAGATCCAGGAAGAGCGTGAGCGCAGTGAATTTCGCCAACTCCAGGAACAAGCTGGCTTGGTTACCAGGCAAGAGAGGCTGGAATTTCTTTATGATTCTGGATTAGCTGTTGGAAAGGGAAGTTCTAGTGGGTTTGAATCTTTGTCCAAGCCGGCTGAACCTGTAACAGCTGCTGTAGCTGCTGCTGATTCCAGTTCTTCTGCCAAACCGCAAGCATCGGTGCCAGGAGCTCTATTTGAGGACAAGTCACAATCTTCCAATGATGCTTGGAGGAAACTCCATTCTGATCCCTTGCTTATGATTCGTCAGCGAGAGCAAGAAGCCCTTGCGCGTGTGAAGAACAACCCTGTCCAGATGGCCATGATTCGTAAATCTGTTGAAACAATGAAAAATAAGGATAAGATGCATGATGAGAAAGAGAAGGATGAACGCAGACATAAACATCGAGACAAGAAATCAAAGCCTCATCATTCGAAGTCAAAGCATTTGAAGAATTCACCTAGACAAACCTCTGATGCAGATGAATACTTGAGTGAAGATGATTCTAGGAGAAAGAGAGAGTCTCGCAAGGACAAGAAGATTAATGATCAGAAAGCTTCTATCGTACGAGATCCTCAAGGAGGCAATGATTTTTACAAAGAAAAAACTAAGATTAGGAATGATAATGAAGCTGTAAAACATGAGAGGCATGCAAGATCTGATCTGCCAAGGCAAGAATCCCATCGTAACTCTCGTGAGCATACAAGGTCTGATATACCAAGGCATGAATCCCATCGTAACTCTCGTGAGCATACAAGGTCTGATATACCAAGGCATGAATCCCATCGTAACTCTCATGAGCAGACAAGATCTGATATACCAAGGGACGAATCCCATCGTAACTCTCGTGAGCAGACAAGATCTGATCCTCCAAGGCACGAGTCGCGTCATAACTCTCGCAAGCCTGTTAGGCTCTCTGAAGAAGAGAGAGCTGCCCGTCTACGGGAGATGCAGAAAGATGCTGAGGTCCATGAGGAGCAAAGATGGAAAAGACTCAAGAAGGCAGATGAAAATGATGCTAAGGAAGCTGTACATGCTGGCTCGTCTGGTGGTAGGAATTTTCTGGATGCTGCTCAAAGAAGTGTTTATGGTGCTGGAAAGGGAGGAAGCTCCACAATTGAGGAAAGTGTTCGTCGCCGAACACACTATTCACAGAGAGCAGAAGCTTCAGAAGGCAATGCTTTTCGGCGATAAAATGGATGAAAAAATTAATGAAGTTCCTGCTGAGTTTTTCCATAATGAATCACTTTATGTAATCCAAATGTATTTCATTTTGATCACACTGTTCTATTATCATACTGAGCGATTATTGTGGGATCAAGGTCAGATTAAGTATGCTGGTGTTCATCTTGCCACAAATATACTTGGTGTAACTGAAATCGTGAACTTGTTATGTGCAAAAAAAATGTTTTTAAGGTGGCTGGCTTATTACTTGAGCTGTGAGTTTGTGCTGTTAGCTTTTGATCTGATTAATATTGTATCTTGAAATCACTGTTGGTTCACGCGGCTGTAAGGAAGTCTGCACCAACCACTGGAAGAATCTGGATATCATAGTTATGGATTCCTCATTCACCTGTCAGAAGGAGTAAATTAAACCCAATAGTTCCAAATGTTGCACTAAGCTTCTGATCCTCAGGCTGACTTTTAGTGCCTGGTCTGTGGAACCCTTTAAGGTAACTTATTTGTTCGTGCCTGTGAGTCCTCTCTAACTTATTTGCTTAATTGCATTCACCATTGTCATCCAGCTTCCTATGATCTATTTTTAAAGTTTGATGGCAATAGGGAGTTCTTCAATTTGCATCTTTTAGTAGACTTGAGGCTTCTCATTAATTGGTTCATGCAATTCAAGTGTCACAAAGAGGCCTTCACTTGTTCTGTTTGAGAGTGCAACCTTGGTGATATCCTGGTTGTCTTTGATGAGTTGGGTTCTATGCTATTCTTGATACATCTGGGAAAAAATCAAATTGTTGACTTCAGTTTTCTCATGTTTATATATCAAATAATGCTTGATATTGAAAACTCAGGAGCTGAATCAAGCACGTGGTGCATATGTGTGGTACAGTTTTTAGCTTTGATATGAATGTTCGATTTCTTTTAGTGCCGTTGATCTTTTTGAAAGGTATTCGCTTGTGCCTTTGACTGGTTTGTTTCCGTAGTTGCTTTGATGTTTCCCCTTTTTCTTTATAAGCAACGGCTACACCTCAAACTCCCAAACTGGTTGGTATTGATTATATGAATCCCCACTTTGGACTTCGTTTCATCTGAACCTGTTGCATGCCAATGTTCAATAAGTTAGATTCTAGCATTAGAAGTCCTCAACATTTTCTACTAATAGAGATTTGTAACATGATTATAAAGACCCCTAATGAATGTTGGGCCCAATGTAAGTTTAAAAACATTATCAAGCATTGACCCAACTAATTTCTGTTGTCTATATGGATCTTCTTATTTTATCAGGATCAATTTTTAGCCAAATGTGCAAGGTTTTGATGAGATTGTAGGCATAACTTTCTTCCATTTGATTGTAGGTCTTCTGAACTTATAATATTTTCGTGTTAGTTGAAATATCTGAGTTGCTTGAACTGAACACAATGAAGATATTATCTGTAGTTGCTCACTGTTACTAAATTAAAGTTCTTAGAATAAACACTTGAAAGTGTGGAACTTTGCTGCAAGATCACAAGAAAAGATCAATCTGTACTATGACAAAGAAAAATGAAAAATCACTAGAATAACAGATGAATTTGGTTATTGGGAATCTAATAACATCGATAATCATCAATGTCTTTCTTTAGGATAAAAACAAGACGAATTTTACCATTCATTAATCCTTTTGTGATGGTAATTTACTTTTCAGCATGTCTGTTAACAATGTCACATCATCTATTTGGGCTTAAAAGTTGGATTTATGTTGTTGCTGTCAGAGTGTTTTAGTTTCTCTCTGTATTTTGTGTATTATTTTTTTGTCTTTTCATCTTGTTTGTTGTTACCATTGATGTACTTCTTTCAGCCGTGGAGAAAAATCTGATGTACTCTGCAGGTATTCTTATTTAACATAAATCGGGACTAACAGTTTGGTGCCTCGTTAAAGAGATCTTCTCTATTTTCTATTCCTGCACTCCGGAGGACTAGTGGAAGTTACATGCTACTGGTGACTTGGCCAAACATCTCAAGTGCAAGGGGGGTCTCTCTACACTAGTGGTCCAACTGCATATATGGATGGAGGTCTAACCCCATCTATTTGTTGCTCACCTGAAGCTTGATGGTTAAGGTTAGTGAATTAGGGACAGACCATAATTGGGATAAGACTTGTAACGATGCTGAAAAAACACCCCCACACTCCAACCAACTCCCTAAACTATTTAATTCTAATTTGGTGTGAAGTTTCTAAGATTTTTGGAATGGAAGTGTTCTCTTTTTTTTTTACAAATAAGCTGTTGGTGGCTGAGTACTACTCCCTCCGCCCCAATAAATGTGATGTAGTTTGATAGGGAACAAAGTTGAAGAAATATGCGAAGACTTTGCAAATGTTTGAAAACTGCTCTTTAAAATGTATTATTTTTTTTAAAGAAGAGAACTCTTGTGGACTTTTTTGCCAAGTAACTGGGATTCAACATACGTAAAATGCTAAAAGTTTTATTAAATATTTGTTAAATAAGAAAAAGTGTCAATTCTTTTTCTATTTTTTTTATTACAAGGGAAACCTGCAGCCGCTACCCTTTGGGTGCGCATAGGGTAAAACCCCCGATCCTATGCAATAGCTCGCAAATCACATAGGAGAGGTAACCTGCACAACGCGAGCTCGAGCCAGAAGGCGATGATTCAGTAATTTGGAAATTTTTGCAGGCATGTATTCCCTGATAGAGTTTTGTTTTGTTTGAAGCTGTAATGTTAACCCCTCTCCAGTAATTGTACACTTGAAGGGATTACATTGATTAGTCTCACTATGCCTGCATCTTTGTATGGTTGGTACCCAGTCACTTTCCAAAGTGCCACTTCCTTCATGTTTTATTTGCAATTCATAGATTGATTGCTGCATGTTTCCTTTGATATTGATAGTAGTGTGACATGTTTTTGTACTGAAAATTATGAAACATTACAGCCCTCCAGTGATGAAGTTTGAGTTGTACAAATACAGAAATAGTTGATTATATGTAGGCCCTATGGATTTAGGGTGAGTTTGGATGGCTGTTCTTTTCCTTGAGATGGGATTATTTTGCTGCATCTTTTCCTGGTTCTTGATCTTTGTTCATTAATCCTGAGCACTCATTTATGCTAATGACGCACTCAAAATGCTAAATGAGCTAAACTTTTAATTGAATAGCCACTATACTTGTTTACCCCGTTAGAACCTGTACATTTCAATCACCCTTGCACTCTAATGCCCTATTTGTCATGCTATTCGACTTTTCTCCCCTTCAAGTTTTTGATTTTATTACTATTCCTTTGCTGCTACTTAAAATTTTATCTACATGTATGGTTATAGCTAAGGAATGCCATCAGGGGTCGGAGCTAAAGGGGCGCGCGCACAAAGGGGCTATCCAAACTCCCTATATCAAACTATTTTGTTGTGTATGTTGCTTTTCTTTGGTTTCTTTGTGTTGTTACTCTTCTTTTTTTTGTTGTTGTTCCCTTTAGTGAAAATCCTGGCTCAATTACTAATTGTCATTATAGCTTTTACATTGCAATGCATAGTAACTCCGCCACTGAAGCAATTCCCGTTTTAGGTCAAAATATTGCTTGCATTATTGCCTAACTTATGTCACCATTAGTGATCAGTCATTTTTTATTTGGACCACACAACATGTGTTAAACAAATTCTCAATTGTTTATTAACCATTTTTTGGAGATGCAAGATAGGTATGTATGTAGAGGATGGCGTGGAAGATGGTGAAATAATTATGCACATAAAAAATGAGAGATTACTAAATAATTAATGATAAAAAGTAGTGGTACCTGTCTGAGTAATTTAGGTATCGAAATATAATTGTTAAATAAGGCATGCTTTCTTACCCATTGTTCCACATATGTAATAGGAGTTTAAAGATATAGTAATAAAATTAGTCATATAGTATTAGGGTAGCTCGTGATTGCAATTGGGTTTTCTAGGTGAAAAAAAGAAAAGCATTTGATTAATTAATTAATTAAGGGAGCATTAGTACTATATCATAAAACATACCTCTCCATCCCACCTGTGGCGTGACAACTTTTTGTACCCCGTTGAAGGAGGCATTATCATACGTTACTGTTTCTGGTCTCTCCCCCCCCCTACAAAACCCACAAAGTGAGAATTTGTACAAGAAAAGTATACCTAGCTGAAATGTAACTCTCAAATTAGTATCATTAAAGATGTGCGCAGTGGATGAGTTTGTTCCTTCTTTAATCAGATATTTTGAATTCGATGTTGAATATGAAAAATCTCTGATAGGGAGCGTTCTTTTCTGAATGGGGGTTTGACATTGTTTGAATTCAAATTAATTGTACTCTAATGAGGATATCAGAAAAGGGTGAAACTGATTGGCCTGAAAATTTGATCAGAATTTAGCTAGTAAGTTTTTTTAAAAAATATATTTTCTTTTATTTTAAAATAAATTAATTTTCGTTTCTATTTTTAATTAAAATATACTAAGTTAAAAGGGATAAAAAATATTTTTAAAAATATAAAAAGTTATCATTCTGGCAGAATTTTTTTTTGCCAAAACGATTTTTCCATTAGAAATTTAAAAAACACTAAAAGCAGTCTGAAAAGAAACAAAAAGGAAAAACGAAAGGTGAATGTTCTGTCTTTTAGTTACTACTCTACTTGAATAGAGAGAGATTCCTCGATAGCCTAGTTTGACTTGAAACAGAGTTTAAGAAGAAAAATAAATTTTACTTTGTGGTATTAAATTAAAGTTATGTTAAATATACCAAAATATCCTTTAATCTTGTGATCTTAAAATGTTGCTAAAAAAGGAAAATGATCATTCTTTTTTAAACAGATTAAAAAAAATGAGATATTCTTTTTGAAATGAAGGGAGTATATAAGTTCTATCTAACTTATTTGGATTGAGACTAGTAGTTACTCTTATTTTATTTGTTTGTTTATTTATTCATTCATTATTATTTACTTGAAATATAGAGGAAGCTAACTAACGGATCAACAAGACGTGGAGAGTTGATTAAGAATTTAATTTGTGTGGGATAAATCAATTTCTAACCGTAGTTAGCTTTTTATGTGGATGTTTTTAGTTGAATTTAATTGTCAAACAACTTAACTATTTGTCTGATATTTTCATGAATAGTAATATAACAAACATAATATTTTAAAGTGACGTTTCGAGAAACTGGAAAAAAGAATTTTTTGTAACTTTTATGATCATCAAGCCAATATGATTAAATAAAGGAAACATTTTATATAGAGAGAGAGTTTGAATTCTCCCCCTCCAAAACAAAA